GCGGGTCGTCCACGCCGATCCACACGACCTCGTCGCTCCCCGCGTCGCTGCCTCCCCACGGGTCCACCTCCATGGCCTCGGCGCCGGGAGCCTCCGCGACGTCGTTCGTCGTCTTAGTCGTCGTGCCCTTGGGCGGGGACGACCTCGCGCCGCCGCCGCTCGCTTCCGTCTTCGCGGCGGCGTCAGATTCGAGCTCAGCCGGGTCGGACGACAGCGGCGTCGCCGTCGGGAGCCGCAGCGGCGTCCCGGGCTTCGCGGGGGCCTCGATCTCGAGGACGTACGCGACGCCGCCGATCGTCTTCGCGCGCGTCGTCTTCGGTCTCGCCGCCGCGGGCGCGTACGTCAACCCCGCGCGAAGGGCGGTGACGACGGACCACTCCGCGTCGTCGTCGCTGCCGGACGTTTCCGTGTCCATCGCCGCGCCGCCGTCGCCGCCGCCGCCGCCGCCGCCGCCGCCGCCGCCGCCGTCGTCGTCGAGCGCGGGGCGGAGCTTAATCTTCGCGACGGCCAAGTCCGCGATCGCGAGCTCCTCGACTAACGCCTCGAGCTCGGCGAGCGGCCGCGGACCCAGATGCCCGCGCCAGGACGCGAGGAACGCGCGCAGGATCGCGTCCTGCGCGTGCCCGCGTCGCACCGCCTCCGCCAGCGACGCCGCGCCGTTGTGCAGGAGCATCGCGGAGAGCGCGGCGGCGAGCGCCCGCACCTCCGCGGCGCGTCCCGCGTCCACCTGGGGACCCTTCCTCGCGTCCGCGCCGCCGCTGCTGCTGCCGCCGCCGCCGGCTGGACCGGGAAGCATCGCGCCGTCTCGAGACACGAGGGATACGATCCGCCGCGCGAGATGGTCCCCCGCGCCCGCGCGCGTGAGCTCGGACATGACGGACGCCTGACGCGTCGCGATGAGATCAAACGTCAGCGCCTCCGTGAGTCTGACGAGCGACGCCTCCGCGGCGGTCGTCGTCGTGTTCTTCTTCCCCATACTCGCGGCCTCCTTCCGGAGCTCGCCGAGGCTCCCCCACTCGAACGCCTCGAACGTCGAGCTCGCGAACCCGAGGAGCGCGCCGAGTAAACCGGAGACGTCCACGCGGCCGGCGTCGCTCGCGCTCGCGTTCGCATCCGCGCGCTCGCCGCCGCCGCCGCCGCCTCTCTCCCCCGCGGCGACGCCGCCAAGCATCATCCCTCTCGTCTCGTTGACGATCACGCGGTACCGCTCCACGCGCGAGGCGTCTTTCCCGCCGCGCGCGCCCTTGAGCGAGGACCACGGCTCTTCGCCCCACCGGTCCCACGGCGTCGTCCAATCGCTCGCGCCCTCCCCCGCGGACGCGCTCACGAACGTCGGGAACCACGCGCCGTCCGCGCACGACAGCGTCAGCGCGACGTGCGCGCGGTCTTTGTTGGAATCCCCGACCGCGTGCCACACCGTGCCTCGTCGTCCGCCGCGGTCGCAGCACGCGGCGACGGCGCTGAACGCGCCGGGCTGCCCGGGCGCGCCAGCCTTGTGCGCGGCTCTCCTCGCCGCCTCCGCGACGGCGGCGTCCCCGCCGAGCGCGTCGATCAAGACGTCGATCGCGTCACCGAGGCCGTAATCGTCCCCGTCTTTGCTCGGCTGCATCGCCCACGCGCCCGACGTCGTGACCGCGACGAAGTGCGCGCCCCATTTGGACCGCGCGGCGGACCCGGCGCTCAGCGCGCCGTCCGCGGCGAACGCGTGATACATCGACGCCGCGTTGAATCGCGCCTCCGCGGGCTTGCGTCCGCCGCTGAGGTCCCACGTGCGGTCGTACACCACGGCGAGGTCGCTCGCGCGGACGGCGAGGACGTTGAGACCGCGCTCGGAGGCCCACGCGCCGGCGCCTTTCTCGCCGTGTTTCCACGCGCCGCCGTGCGTCATGTCTTCGTCGACGGCTTCGTCGTGCGCGTCGAACGGTTTCGCCGCCGACGACGACGCCGCCGCCGACGACGCCGCCGCGCGGGCCGCGTCCGCGTCGTCCGCGTCGTCGTCGGACTCGGAGTCCGTGTCGTGGACGACGATCTGCTTGTCCCCGCCGCCGGGGGAGAAGAGCATCGACGTCATCTCTCTCGCTTTACTCCTCGGCGTCGCGCCGCCGCCGCCGCCGCCGCCGCCGCCGCCGCCGGCGTCGTTTTCCTTCGCCACCGCCGCGTTCGCCGCCGCGCGTTCCTTCTCCAGCTTATCCAGCTTATCCACGCGTTCTCTCTCTCGCTTCGCCGCGAGCTCTTTCTCCTTCTTACTCGCGACGACCGGAGCGTTCCTGCGGTACTCCGCGTCTCCCAAACTCCCTTTCCTCGCGCCGCTATTTGCCGTGTTGTAACCGCCGCCCGTCGCGCGCAGCCGCACGAGGCCCATCTTCGCCTCCACCCTGGACGTGCTGAACACGGACTCGAGCTCGCCGACGGTGAAGCCCGCGAGCGCGATCTTGTACGCGCGGTCCGTGCTCAGCCTCAGGCGCTTGCTTCGCTTCGTCGCCTCGTCTTTGGAGACGTCGAACAGGACGCTCTTTCGACGCGTGTGGACGTGGAGGCCCTCCGTCGCGGCGGCGAGGAACAGGTCGCCGACGACGGTCTCGATCGTCTCCCCCGGGTTCGCTCTCGGGACGACGTCCAGCGCGAGCCGCCAGCCGTCTCTCGCGGACGCCTCGGTCGGCAGCGCGCCGGGGGACCATCGAACGACGCACTCGTCGCGTCCGGTTCGAACGATCTGAAGCGGCGTCGAGATCACGACGTTCGTCGCCTCCGCCTCGACCGGCTTCGTCGGCGCGGACGACGACGCGAGTTGTTGGCGCTTCGGCGGGATCGCCGCGAACTTCACGGCGTACACCGCGTCGCACGGGAGGTCTTTGGGGACGCGCCATCGCACGCTGACGACGCCGTCCGCGCCGACGCGCGCGCGCTCTGCGATGGATCTCACGCACTTTCCCGTCCACCCCGAGCTGACGCACGAGACGCTGACCTCGTCGAACGCGCGACCGGCGGCGCAGTCCGCGGCGAGCACGTACTCCACGCCCTGCTCTAAGACGTCGTGCGGTTTCGGGAACGAGACGTTCATCGCGCTCGACGCCCACCCCCCGCGCGACGCCGCGTCTGACGAGATCCGCCCGCGGCTCGACGACGGAGACGACGTCGTGGTTCGCGTTCAGTTCATGTTCAGTTCGCGCGAAATACGCTCGTCTGCTGGACGAATTCGGCCGTCCGACGTTCGGTCGGGGCACACCCGAGGGCGCCCGTCATGGCGTTCGTATCGCGCGCGCGGCGCGACACCGGGAAGTTCGGGCCTCCCCCGGCGACGGACGGCGAGGTGCGCGTCTCGACGCCCGCCCCGCTCTCTCCGCGGCGACGCGCGCGCGCGAGCGCGCTCCCTCGCGGGTCAACCACGTTTTCGTCGATCGCGGCGTCCGTCCATCCGTCCGTCCGACTCACCGCGCCCTCCCCGACCGCGTCCTCTCGCCCCGCTCCCTCCTCGCAGGCGGTCGGTCCCGGCGCGTACGGCGAGGACCGCGCCTCGCCGACGTACCAGGGCGTCGCGCCGTTCTACTCCACGTCGCGGCGGACGTCGCTGAGCGACGGCGCGGACCGCGCCCCGGGACCGGGGGCGCACGCCCTCCGATCGTCCTTCGCGGGCGCGCAGAAGCGCGCGACGAAGACGTTCAGCGCGTTCGTCTCCGGGCAGTCGCGCCTGGGGAAGCTCGACACCACGGACGCGGTGGATAACCCGGGGCCGGGGCATTACGAGGGCGCCAACGCGTCCAGGGAGACGTGGCCGAGGAAGCCCGCGAACCGGTGGAAGAGTAGGTCGACGGAGGATGCGTCGTCGTCGTCGACGACGACGACGACGACGACGACGAAGCCGACGCGCGTCACCGCGAGCGCGCCGTCCGTGCCGACTAAATCGCAGAGCTACGGGTACGCGGTCACCCCGGACGCCGGCGTGGTCCCGCGAGCGCCCCCAATCCGCGGATGCAGCGGCGTGAAGGGCGACACGGTCGGTCCGGCGGGGTACGCCCCCGTCGGGCTCGGGACGGCGTTCGGCGGCTCGAAAACGGCGGGGACGGATTTCGTCAGCAGCAAATCGAAGCGCGGGTTCGAGCTCGCGCGCGAGCGAGGGACGCTCGGCGACGGCCCGCCGTCTCCCGGGACGTCGTACCTCGGCGAGGTGAAGCTCCGGGTCGAAGAGCAGCTCCGCGTGTCCACGGCGAGGAGGAGCCTCGCCGACGCCGACGCGAACGCGAATCTGAATCCGCGTCGTTCGGGCTCGGGGTCGCCGACGCGGACGACGTGCGAACGCGAACCGAGCGGCGCGAACCTCGGGACGCGCGGCGGCGACGCGCGGGTGAGGGTCGACGCCGTCCCCGGACCGGGGGCGTACGCGGCGCCGTCGCAGTTTGACCGCGCGTCTCGAAGGAAGCAATCGAAGCCGTCGAGGTTGCAGAACTTTAACGTGAGCTCCCCGGCTTCCTACCAGGTGGACGTGGAGACGTCGCTCTCCGCGCCGACGTGGGCGACGACGCCCGGGCCGGGGGCGTACGAGGACCCGCGCGTGCGGTTCAAGACGCGCGACGGCGAGCGGCCGTTCCGAGTCGCGAGCGCGAAGAAGACGACCGCGACCGGCGACCGGTCGCCGGCGCCGCCCGCCGCGAAGAAATGGTTCGAGCCCGGTCCAGGGCAGTACGACCTCGGCGGCATGGCGAAGGACGTGGACCGCAAGCTCGGGAGCAAGAACGGCGTGTTTGGGTCCTCCGCCGCGAGGTTTGGCCCGGGGATCGTGCGCGAGCCCAGGGGGGGCGGGGTCGGCGACCGGGCCGACGACGACGCCGCGGAGTCGGCGCCGGGGACGGACGGAACGCTCGCGCGGCTGCGACGGAAAGAGACGTCCTCGTTCGCGTCGACGTCCAAGCGCGGCGGCGGGTCCGGGTCTTCCCCCGCGGCGTCGCCGTCGCCGTCGTCGTCGCCGCCGCCGCCGTCGTCGTCGTTTCAACTCGACGGCGCGCCCACGCGGCCGAGCAACCCGTATCAAGCGCCGCCGCCCGGGGCGTACGACGTGGTGATGAACGCGAAGTGGCTGAGGAAAGGGACGACGCGGGGGACGCTCGGCGGGGAGGCGCGGTTCAAAGAGAGCGGCGGCGCGCGCGACGCGGCGTCGTCGCCGGGGCCGGGGTCGTACGAGTGGACGACGGGGAAGAAAGCCGCGAAGGAGCGCAGCACGCCGACGCTGAGGAGCAGTTTCCGGAGCGGCACCGTGAGGTTCGGGGAGGACTTCGGGGGGGACTCGCCGGGACCGGACGCGTACGACACCGGCGGGTCGATGAACGTGCGGTCGTTCAACGTCACCGCGCGTTGAGCCGCCCGCGAGAGGCGGGAGGGAGGTTGAAAGAGAAGGTGAAGTGTAGCGGTGATCGTAGTGAGTGACTTACGTACAGTATCTTATGCAAAGTGCTGGCATCTATGTTTCCGCTCCGGTTCGAGAGCGCAGGCGTCGCCGCCCCTTCTCTCGCGGAAATCAAAAAGCGCTCACCCCGCGGTCTGGCGCTCGAGCATTCCGTCCCGGCCTGGCTGGTGGCTCTCTCGCGTTTCGCGAGAGGAGCCCAGCCGGTGGACAGCCGTCGAGCGCAACCGGTTTATTCGGGGCGCGCGCCCTCTGCGTTTCCCCGGTAACTAGGTACTAGCCCAATCTACGTTTACTTCCCCTCCTCGAGGAAAGAGAACATCCCGCCGTCGTCCTCGAGCGCGACGCCGCCCAAGCCGGCGCGGCCGCCGGTCTCGCCCGCGCCGAGGCCGCCGCCCCACGTGCTCGCGCCCGCGCCGAACGCGCCCGACGCGGACCCTGGGATGGCGCCGAACGTCGCGCCGCCGAACGCGCCCGCGCCGGTGCCGGGGCTCCCGCCGTACGGGTTCGGGTGGACGCCGCCGCCGCCGCCGCCGGCGAGCGACGCTTGCGCCTCCGCCCACGTCGACGGGTTCCCGCTGCTCATCCCGCCGCCGCCGCCGCCGCCTCCTGACGCGGCCGCGGCCGCGGACCACGCGGACTCGGTCCCGGGAGACCCCCACTGCGCGCCGCCGCCGCCGCCGCCGCCTGAGGACGCGTTCGAGCCGGTCGCCCACGTGTTCGAGCCGAAAAATCCACCCGGTTCCGTCGGGGAGCCGACGTTGAACCCGCCGGCGGAGCTCCCGCGCACGATGTGCTGCGTCGGTCGCTCGTCGTTGTGGTCCCTCACCGCGCCGACGAAGTCGTCGTCCGTGGGAAGTTCGAACACGCCGCTGGAGTGGCCGCTGCCGACGCCGCCGCCGCCGAGGTTGACGTTGAGCGGCGTCCACGGGTCGGCGGCGGCGGCGGAGGCTTGCCACGACGGCGGCTGCGCCGCGACGCCACCGCCGCCGCCGCCGCCCCAGTCCGCCGCGCGCGATACCCCGGGAGGAGGACCCGGCGGCGGCGGCGGCGGCCCAGGAGGCAGCGGCGGCTGCGCGCGAGAAGCGCGCGACGCGCCCCCCGGGAGCGGCGGACGACCGGGAGGCAACGGCGGCGCCCCCGGAGGCGGCGGCGGCGGGCCCTGCGCGAACCCGTACGCGTGCCCCGACGGCGGCGATTCGCGCGGCGCGGGGATGCGCCCCGCGCCCGGCGGCGGAAACCCGCCCGGGGGAAGCGGCGCGTGGCCGCTCCCGTTCCCGCGCGGCGGAGGGATCCCCTGCGGGAGCGGCGGTTGCCCGGGCGGCGCCGGCGGCGCGCCGACGCCGTTTTGGCGGTGCCTCGTCGTCGCCGGCGCGTGCTGATACCCCGCGGACCCGGGCGGCGGCGCGACGCCCGCGCGGGCGCCGCCCTTGGGCGTCGGCATCGCGGGCGCGGCGGCCCAGAGAGGAGGTTCGCTCGCGCCGGCCGGCGCGCTCGTCGGCGGCGGCGCTCGGCCGGTGACTTGCGTCTTGTACCGGTCCTCTTCTTGTTGGAGACGCGCCGCGAGCGCTTCGTCGCCGCTGTACCCGCCGTACTCCGCTTGCAGCCGTCGCGCGTACTCCTCGTCCGTCATCGTGGACGGGTCCAACGGTGGTCGGTCGATGCCGAGGCGTTCCGCGGCCGCGGCGAGCTCCTCCGCGCGCGCCTTTTCCTTCTTCTTCTTCCGCTGCGCCGCCTTCTTCGACAGCCCGCCCTCGCCGCCGCCGCCGCCGCCGCCGCCGTCCGCGTTCGCGTCGCCGCCCGCGCCCGCGCCCGCGCCCGCGCCCGCGCTCGCCGCCTTGGTCTTCTTCTCTTTCTCTTTCTTCGACTCGAGCTTCTGCTTCATCTCCTCGAGCTCCTGCATCTCGCGCTCCGCCGCCGCCTCCGCGGCGCGACGCAACGCCGCTTGGCGCTCGAGCTGCGTCGCGTCCACGGCGTCGACGCCGTCGCGCTCGCTCTCATTCGCGGCGGCGGCAGCCTTCTCCTTCGCCGCGCGCTTCTTCGCTTTCTTGCTGAGACCGCCGCCCGGGGCTTGCCCGTTCAAACTCGACCCGGCCGCGCCGTCGGTCGCGTCCGACGCGGCGTCGGAAGATTTCTTCTCCGGAACCGGCTTACCGCTCGTCGCGTACGCGGACTCCACGGAGTGCGGCCCCCACTCCGTGACCTCGCCGTCGGATCCTTCGACGCGGCCGACTCTCGCTTTGAAGCAGTACCTCGTCCCCGGTGAAAGGTCCGACACCGTGACGATCGTGCGCCCTTTCACGGACGTGAACACCGTGTAGTTGTGATCGCCTTTTTCGCGCTTCAGACTCAGCTCCCAACACCGATCCTTCGGCAGCGTCTGCGTCGTGTTCTTGCTGCGGTACAAGTTCAGCGTCACGGACGTGTCCGTCCGCGACACTAACGTCGGTCGTTGGAGCTTCTCCAGCGGCGCTTTCGCGCGTCGCTCCTCGTCCTCTTGCTTCGCGAGTTCGGCGGCGTATCGCGCGGCTTCTTTCCGCATCTCTTCGAGGTGTTCGAAGAGTTCGTCGTCCGTGCGTCCTCCCGCGTTCCCGCCGCCGCCGCCGCCGCCGCCGCCGCCGCCGCCGCCGCCGCCGCCGCCGAACCACCCGCCGCCGCCGCCTTTCCCGCCCCACCCGCCCGGGGGCGGGTGCGAGAAGAAGTGGTGCAGGTCCGAGTACCCCAAATCGTCGTCGTCGTCGTCGGTGTAATCTTCGTCGTCGTCCGTGTAGTCGTCGTGGTCGTCCCCGCGGTGCGGCGGTCCTCGCCCGCCGCCGAACGGGCCTTTGCCGCCGAACGGGCCTTTGCCGCCGCGGAAGCCGGAGAAGCCGCCGCCGAAGAAGAAGCTGCGAGAAGGAAGGAAGGAAGGAAGGAAGGAACGCGCGAGTGAGCGAGGGGACCCTGGGCGGGTGGGGATGGAAGGAAGGCGGGCGGTCGCGGGCGGAAGGATCGAGCGCGGAGGGACCCTGGCGCGACGAAGACGCGACGCGCGGCGATCGACGACGGCGATCGATGCGCGATGGCGATGTGGTAGAGAAGTGAGAGACGAAAGAAGCGGCGGACGAGACCGAGACGCGCGCACCTCTCGAAGAAGCTCGCGGCGAAGTCTCTCATGTCCTCCGCGGACTCGAATATCTCGTCTACGCCGTCTTCGCCGTCCTCGCGCGTGAGGCACTCGTACGCGCTGACGACCTCTTTGAACTTCTTCTCCGACTCCGCGTCGCCCGGGTTCTTGTCGGGGTGGTGCTTCAGCGCGAGTTTCCTGCGGTGGATTCGAGTCGGACGGCGTCGGGCGGGGGAGGGCGTCAGATTCGAAGCCGCGGGAGCGGTCGTCGTCGTCGTCGTAGTGTCAAACCGAAAAATGGCGCGCGTCTCGCGCGCCGGAGAACGACGCCCGCGGCGGACGCGACGCGCACCTGTACGCCTGCCGCACGGCGTTCGAGTCTAAGTCATCGGCTACGCCGAGAACGCGAAGCGCCGCCGCGCGCTTCATGGTCGCAGAGAGCTCCCCGCCTCCTCTCAGCGCGCGCCTCTCAGTGCCGAGCACGACGCTTCACGTGGTTTGCTCGGATTTGGCGGGATTTTTGGTTTTCGTGCCGACCAGCCGTGGGTGCACGTGCCGGAATCTTTCTCATCAGTTGAAAGGGGACGCGATCAAATGTTGAAACTACAGGGTGGGTGAAAACCGTTCTCGGAGCTGCCGAAAAACGCAAGGCCGCGCGCCGCCCGTCGTGGCTTTTCGATATTTTGTTCGACGCGGAACCTTGTCGTTGTAACTCTCGCGCGCGCCCTCCGCGACGTTCCTCGGACGCGCTCCAGAGTCCTCCGACCGCTCGCGCGAAGCCCCGACCTCTCGCGCCTCCGCCCCCGCCGCCGCGACCATGCGTCCGCGCGCGCGCGCGCGTCGCGGCGCCGTCGCGACGACCGTCGCGGCGGTCCGCGCCGCCGTCGACGCCTCCCGACGCCTCCCGACGTCGTATCGTCGTATCGCGCTCCTCCCCGTCCTCGCGCTCTGCGCGCTCGGCGCGTGCGTCGGCCTCGCGGACGCGGGGCCCGCGCTGGGAGCGCGCCGCCGCCTCCTCGACGCCGTCGCGACTCCGGTCCCCGTTCGCGCGTCCGCGAAGGCCGCGACCAGGCCGGTGCGTTCGTCGCGTCTCTCTCTTTCTTTTTTCGTCCCGAGAGTCGCAGTCCTGAAGTGGCAGCGCCCCGCCTTGTCTTTTCCCCTCTCCCCCGCCCGACCCTCTCGTCCCGCCTCGCTTCCCCTCCCGGCCGCCGCTTCCCTTCGCGACGCTCGTCCCGCCTCGCCTCGTCCGACGCGCCGCTCACTCCCCGCCGCCGCGACCCATCTCTCGCGCAGCCGACGATCGTCTCCGCGCGACGTCCCGAGCCCGACGCGGCTGCCGCGCGTTTCGGCGGCGCCGAAGCCGCGAAGCCGCGCGGCGCGACGACGAGACCGCGGTTCGATCCCGACGCCGACGCCGAGCTCGACCTCGAGCCGAGGCCGCGCGACGGCATCACGCGCCCCGGTCGCGTCGGCGTCGCGCGCCCCGACGGCGTATCCCGCCCCGAACGACCGACGTCCACCGCGTCCGACCCCCTGTGGGGCGTCTCCGGCGAAGCCGCGCTTCACCTCGAAGAGGGGTGGTGCCCTCCGGGGGTGGTGAACTTCGCGAACTGCGACCCGCGCCCTGGAACCGCGCTGGGGTTGCCGACGCCGCGCGTGCCCGTCATCGACGACGACGCCGCGGACGCCGTCCTCCTCGGGCGCGCGGACTGGGAGAACGACCTCTCGCTGAAGCCGTTTCGGCTTCGGTTCACGATGCCCCCCAGGGCGGTGCCGCAGGCGACGGTGGAGAACGTCGTCATCGAAGCCAAGAACCCCGGCGGGTACTCGAAGACGCAAACGTTCGAGTGGTACGAGGTGCGGCAGATGCTGTCCTTCATCGAGCTCTTCCCCCCCAACGTCTGCGCGCCAGATCCGAACGTTTGCCGTCCGTGCGTCACCGCCGAGAACAGCGCGGGGGTCGAGCACGGCGCGCCCGCCCTCGACGACCCGGCGACGTGCGTCGACGGCCGGCGGTGCCTGCGCGCCGGCGAGGTGCCGTTCTGGTGGTACAACGGCATCGCGCCCGGACCTCTGTTTCGCATCCCGACGGATCTGAAGTGGCGAAACGCGCTCAAGGACGCCCAAGCGCAGCAGTTCGTTCCCCCGGTCGTCGTCGTCCGCCAGGCGAACGATCTGCCGGCGGACTGCGCGGGGGGCGCGACGACGCACGACGAGCTCGAGTGTAAGCGCGCCATCACGTCCACGCATCATCACGGCTCGCACTCGCTTCCCGGGTTCGACGGGTGGGCGGACGACGTCACCAAGTCGGGCGAGTGGAAGGACTACGTCTACGCCGTGGACATGGGCCCGAGGACGAACTGGTACCACGGTGCGCGAGGGCGCTCGCGTCGTCGCCTTCCTCCCCGCCCCGCGTACTGTATTTTTCTTAATTTCGTCTCTGATTTGAAACTCCCGAGCCTCTCTCGCTCACGCGCCCTCGTCTCTCTTCCTCCGCGCCGCCCGCGCAGATCACGGGATTCACAACACCGGATTCAACGTCGCGAACGGTCTGTTCGCGATGTTCCCGATCTACGTTCCCCCCCAGTACGAGGACGGCCCGCACGGCGAACGAATTCTCCCTCGGTGGATCGACGGCGTCTGCAACGTCTTCGCCGACGGGCCCGGCAACCTCGGGAACAAGGAAGGTCGATGCTTCGAGTTCCCGATGATCTTGTCCGAAGCGCGGTTCAACAACGAGGGCGGTCAAACCGCGAACGGCGACGGCAAGGGCGTCGCGAACGTCCCGGCGGGAACCTGCCGCGTCGACTACGAGATCGAGGGTAACATCTACAAGGCGGACGTGATCACGGTCAACAAGCTCCCTTGGCCGAAGATGAAAGTCTTCGCGGGGTACAAGTACCGCGGCCGAGTGCTCGGCGCGAGCATCTCGCGCTCGTATCGCCTGAGTCTCAGCGGCGGCAACGGCTGCGCGAAGATGATCGTCGTGGGCACGGACACGGAGCTGCTTCTCAACCCCGTCGTCGTGAAATTTCTCGACGTCAACTCCGGGGAGAGATACCAAGTCGTGTTCGATTTCTCCAACTGCGTCGTCCCCGAGGGGAAGAAGAAGATCAACGTGCACCTCCGCAACGCGAACGACTTCTTGAACAACGAAGAATACCTGCACACGGACAAGGTGATGAGGTTCCAGGTCAGGAACCCGCCGGCGAAGATCAAAAACGCCGGGCAGCCGTCGATGCTCGCGAGCGACTGGGAGGGCGGCGGCGGCGTGCCCTGCGCGTTGGATCCGTCAACGATGACGGGCGAGAACGCGAAGATCTGCGCCAACGCGAAGCTCGTTCCCGACGCCGCCCCGACCTGGTACAAGAACGAAGACGTCTGCCTGCTCTCGGAGAACGACGCGTTGCTGCGACGCGAGGCGGTTCAGACCGCGCTCAGGGCGCTGGACGTCGTTCGCGGCGTGGAGCCCGACGCGTACGGCGAAACGCGCGTCCGCGAGATCACCGAGAGTCGTCCCGCGTCCGTCGACATCAGCGCGACGTTCTCCGCGGACGACCCGAAGACCAACCCGAACGGTTTCGCGACGCTCAGCGACGCGTGTCACGGCGCGTCGGGCCAGGGAGAGATGACCACGACGCACGCGAAGCTCGAAGTCGCGGGCGCCGTCGGGCCGGTCCAGTGCGTCACGGTGCGCACGCTGATCTTCGCGAGAACCGGCGGCGAGTGGGTCATCAACGACAAGACGTGGCGATCCGGCGACCGCGACGCGATGGGCCGGATCGAAGCGGCCGCGCAGTACGGCTGCCTCGAGGTGTGGCACATCATCACCGGCGGCGGCGGGTGGCATCACCCCGTGCACCTGCACCTCATCGACGCGTGGATCGTCGAGCGGAAGGACGGTCGCGAAGACGAGGCGCGAAAGGCGTGGCCGGAAGGTCGCGGCGTTTTTCCGTACGAGACGGGATCGAAGGACGTGTTTTTCGTCGGGTTCAACGAGCACGTCACGATCGCGTTCTTCGCGGACTCGAACCGCGGGAACTACATGTTCCACTGCCACAACCTGATACACGAAGACGACGACATGCTCCTCGCGTTTACCGTGACGCGCGAGACGTACGACGCGGACGCGGTTCCCGTCTCGAAGGACCTCATGATGCAACCGCCGTTCGATCCGCGGTTCCCGTACCAAACGAAGGTGACGCCGGGAGAGAGCACCAAGAGCCAAGGCCAGGACGTGCATCGGTACCTGTTCCCGCGCTCGACGCAGCCGGACGGCGCGAACTCGGGGCTCGTGACCGCGAGCGGCTACATGTTCGAGTACGAGAAGTTGTGGCAGGTCCAGTCGCCGATAAGGGATCACCAGGTCGAAGCCACGGCCGCGATAAAGGAGCTGTTCGAGAACGGGGGGAAAGGACGTACCGGGAAGTACTACGAGGAGGACGGGAAGTTCTACGCGAGCGGCGAGAGGAACGTGGCCGGCGACCTTTTGCTCGGCGAAGATACCGAGCCGAGCCAGAAGAATCGAAACGGCGACATCGAGGAGATGTTCTTCTCGAGGTACTGAGTGAAGACGGAGTACGAAACACGTGACGGAAGAAACGATACGAAGCGGATGGTCTGAGACCCCAGCCGCGCGACAGACGTGAGCGGCGAGGGTCTGAGACCCCAGCCGCGCGACAGACGTGAGCGGCGAGGGTCTGAGACCCCAGCCGCGCGACAGACGTGAGCGGCGAGGGTCTGAGACCCGCGCGAGAAGACGACGAAAAAAATGAATGAAAAAAGAGAGGCGCAAGAAATCACTCGTGAACGCGCTCAATCCACCTCCTCGGTCCACCCTCCGAACTGCAGGGTGGGCACCTTTCTGATCGCGGCCCGTTCCTCGACGCACTTCTCGCACTCGCACGTGAACCCGTACGACGCGAGCGCGTCCGCGCGCGCGTCGACGCCCGCCGTCTCGTCCACGTAGCTCATCGTGATCTCCTCCCCCGCGAGCACGTCCCTCGTCGCCTGCACTCTGACCGCCGCCGCGCCTTTCCAGCTCCGGTACCGCGGCGTCGCGTTCGGCGCGCACGAGTGGTTGCACAAGCACGCCATGGGAAACAGCACGGTGCCTTCGAAGCCGGGGAAGACGCGTCGGCTCGCGTCGAACAGGTCCTCCGCGTCCGAGGTCGGGTCCAGCCGCGGTTCGTCGTCGTCGTCATCGTCGTCGCCGTCGCCGTCGTCGTCGCCGTCGCCGTCGTTCGCGTCCACTCCTCCCCGCGTAGGACGCCCCGCGGCGGCGTCCTCGACGTCGCGCGCCGCCTGCGCTTTCAGCGCGATCGGAAGCAACGCGTCCATCGCGCCCGCGACCGACTCCGAGCCCTCGAGCTCGTCCAAACACAGAAGCTCGTGGCACGCGCCGCGCGTCGGCCCGTCGATCTTCATCGACAGCTGGTTCAGCTCGAACGCGCCAAGTATCGCGCCGTAGCCGTGTAAACCGAGGCGGTCGACAACCTCGGGGACTCGAGCCGCGCAGACGCGCGCGGCGGCGACCGAATCTGTAACATCCGTAACATCCGAATCTGTAACCGAATCCTCCTCGGGCCCACCCGCCGCGGAAGAGAAGGCTTCCGCGGCGTCTCGCGTCAACGCCAACGCGCGCGCGGCGATCCCTCGGAGTCTCAGCAACATCATCGGGTCGCCGTCTGACGCGACTTCCCACCACGGTCCCTGCGCGAACGCGCGGAACGGCAGCGTCGCGGCGTCCCAATCGTTCCCGTCGGCGAGCGACGACGCGACGCGCGCGATGACCGCGGTCGCGAGGAAGAGCGAGTCGTGATGCCCGCAGTGCCGCTTCAACGCCGCCGCCGTCGTCGCCGCGGCGTCGGCGCCGTCCGTTCCTCCCGCGCCCGCGCACACGAGCGCGTGCCCGTCCTCCTTCGCGTGCTTCGCGCGACACATCTCGCCGCAATACAGCGTCGTGCACCCCCGGGACGCGGCGTTGACGCACGGCGTCGCCGGCGCGATCCCCTCGCACGTCTTCATCGCTCGCGCCAGGGTCGCGTCTCTTCTCGCCGCCGACGCGACGTCGCACCACCCTTCGCCGTCGCGCGACGGAGGGTCCGCGCCGTCGATCGCGACGCACGCTCGACGCACGGTCTCCGCGTCGCGCCCGCCGCTCATGAGCGTCAGCTGCGCGTCGATGTCGCCGACGCTCCGATGGCACCGCGCGCACGCGAGACACGTCGCCTCGTTCTCCGGGCTCTGCGCGCCGACGAGGGGCGCTTCCGCCCACAGCGTCCCCCCTCGCGCGATGTCCCGCGTCGCGACGACGCCGTTCCCTCGCCCGGGGATCGCGCGCACGGTCACCGGCGCGTCCATCGGCGGGAGCGACTCGAAGTACTCCACGAGTCCGGTCGAGCTTCGCATCGCGTGGCTCGCGGCGGCGCGTTCGAAGCTCGCGCGCCTCGACGGCTCGGACGCCGACCCCGACCCCGACCCCGATCCCGAACCCGACCCCGAACCCGAACCCGGACCCGTCTCGACCGAGGCCGTCGACCCCGTCGTCCCTCCTTTGAACCCTCGCTCGGTGAGTATCGCGTCCCTCGCGCTGTCGTCCACGCGCTTCTCTCGCACGGCGTCTCTAAACGCGCGCATCGCCTCCGCGTACGCCGCGTTTTCCGCCGGCGCCCTTCGGATCCACTCCGCGTTCGCGTCCAACTCGCCCTCGGTGAAGTCCACGTTCGCGAACGTCGGCTCCGTCCGTACCGCGCCGATGAAGACGTCGCCGTGGAACGGGTGCGAGACGTCGAGACCGCATCGCTCCGCGAGCTCGCGCGCGCGGTCGTTCGTCGGCAGGGACTTCAACTTGCCGACCTCGTCGCAGTACGCGTACACGCCGCGATGGCCGTTCGCGTTGGACGGGTGCATCAGCGCGAACGTCTCCGTCTTCCCGCCCGATACCGCGCGCAGGATCGCGTCCGCGGTGACCCTCGACGCCGCGTCCGCGCCGAGCCGCGCGGCCGCGGCGGCGAGCGCGGCGTCCGGGGAGACGCTTCCGCCGCTCGTCGCGAAGTGCGCCGACAGAAACTCCGGAAGCGCGTCCCCGGGGAAGCCCTGCCGGTGCCTCCGCAGCTCGCGGACGCCGCGCGAGGCGTCCGCGGGGAGGTACACGTACGCGAACGTGTCGTCGCCCGGCGGCGGCGACGACGCGGCGGCCATCGTCGCGGCGTCGGCGCGCGAGGTGCGCGAGCGAATCTGACCCGCGGTGATGAGTGGACGGTGATGAGTCAGCGTTCGACGATTGTGAAATAACAACGCCGCGCACAACGATGGCGCGCGAGGACGACCCGCCCGCGGCGGCGCGCATCACGTGGGACGAGGCCGCGATCGCGACGCACGAGTCCGAGGCTGGGGTGCTGTACGGAACGCAGAAAGTCCAGGAGGTGGCGACGCCGTTCCTGTACAGCGGCGCGGAGACCCCCGCTGGAGCGTCGTCCTCCGCGGGCGAGGGCGCGCGCGATGCGCCAGCGAGGACGATCGGCGAGCACGTTCCCGGCGTCGGGAGGGTGGAAGTGGACGTCGGCGAGCTGCGAGCGCGCCTGGGGGTGTGTCTGGACGAGATGCGCGACCCGCCGCCGCCGTGGCTGCGGATGCGGAGCCATCACGAGGACCCCGGAACGGCGTACTACGTAAACAACTTGACCGGCGCGACGCGTTGGGATTTTCCAGAGGAGGAGGACGCGGCGGCGGCGAAGGCGGGAGGGAACGACGACGGCGCGCGGACGGAGAACGACGAGAGCGAGGAGGACGAGCCGATCGTGCCGTCGCGGCTCACGAGGGCGCGAGACTGCGCGGCGCAGTACGTCGCGCAGCGCAGGTAGAGATAGGTCGTCCCGTTTACGTTCAGGCGGCGCTAAGAACTGAACGACGAGCACCCTCGCGACGAGTGCCGCCTCACGAACCCTCACCAGCGCTTGGTGAGGGACATCAACAGATTCAAAAACTCGAGCGGGTTCCCTCGCTTATTCCCACCCTTCCCACCCACCCCGCCGCCGCCGCCGCCGCTGGACGCGAACCAGCTCCTCCACCCCACCAGCAACACGGCGTTGGCGACGAGCGCGACGACGACGAAGGGCTTGGGCGGAATCGCGCCCTTCGACAGCGCCCTCAACGCGATCCCGGCGGGGACGCCGAGGGCGACGCCCTTCGCCGCGGCGATCGCCGCGGGGCCGGTCTTCGTGCCCTGCGAGTGGTGGGCGACGTCGCGGAGAACCACGGATCGACAGAAGAGAAGGTCAGCGGGGGACGCGGAGGCGCGGGCGAGAAAAAAACCAAAAAAAAACCAAAAAAAAACCAAAAAAACGTCGGCGTCTTCCCGTCCGAGCGGCCGGCGCGCACCTTCGCGTCGTCCCCATACGTCCCCGTCAACCCCGACGTCGCGAACCACCCGATCAGGAACGGCATCGCGGTCGCGAACACCTCCCCGAGCTCGAGCCCCTCGCCGTGGTTCCCTCTCCCGATCGCGGCGAAGAGCAGGATGGCGAGCCCGTCGCCCGCGACGAGCTGCGCGAGACGCGTCGTCGGGTCCGTCTCCTCGTCCACCTTCGCGACGCCCTGGAACGCGTCCCGGGAGCGCTGCTCTATCGGCACAACCTTGATCCCGGACGGCGGCGCGTTCGCTGAAGCGGGGCCGGAGCCGAGCGGGGACGGGCGCGGCGGCGGCGCGTCCGGGGATCGACGCTTGAATCGACTCTCCCCCGTCGTCGTCGTCGTCGTCGTCGTCGTCGTCGTCGTCGTCGTCGTCGCGGACGTGGACGCGGACGCGGACGCGGACGAGGTCTCCTCCGCGTCCGCGTCGGACGCGCGCGTGGTCGTCGTGAATGATTTTCCGCGGTGGCGTCTGCGCGGCGGGGGAGACGGGGAGATCGTCAGCGAGCGGCGGCGGGCGGGGGGAGGGCGACGGCGTCGCCTTATCCGAGGAACGATGGTGGAAAACGAACGACGTCGCGACGACGACAACGCGCGCGCGCACCCGACGCGGCGGCCGGAGACGCGCGAGGACGACGCGCGGAGGGCGGCGCCCCCCCCGAGGGAAAGCGAACGCGCGATCGTCGTCGCGTGGAACGACATGACGCGCGCGCGGAACTGCGGCGACGCGCGCGATGCGGTCGCGCGTCGCATACCTGCGGTGGTGATGCAGTGGTGACTGGACGCGGACGAGATCTCCGCGCGCGCGCGCTTCCACGTCGATCTGATCGCCGCCCGCCGCGACGACGTCGCACTCGCCCCCGCGCGCGCCCCCGCCGCACGCGTCGACACGCGAACGCCCCCCCCCGAGAGCATCATGTCGTCCATCGCGCGTCGAGGACTCCGCGCGGCCGCGGCCGCGGCGAACGCCGCGTCGTCGTCGCGCGCGGCCGTCGCGCCCGCGGCCGAGGTCGGCACCGCGTCGATCGCGTCGACGACGACGCGAACGCTCGGGGGGGGTCCTCTCGGCGCGACGCGCGCGCTCGCGACGACGACGACCGCGGCGCTCGCCTCCGCCGCCGCCCGCGCCGCCGCCCCGACGTCCGCCCTCGCGTCGTCGCAGCCGCCGCCGCCGCGCGGGTTCGCCTCCGCCGCCGCCGCGCGTCTCCCCGCCGCGCCGCTCACGCCGGAGGAGATAAAGACAAAGTCGGACGACATCCAAGACGCGTTCGCGGAGGCGAGAGAGGAGATCGAGGCCGCGATGGAGGCGACAGGGACGACGTACTTCAACGAAGAGGCGGAGTACGCGCGGGAGTGCGTGGAGAAGGTGTTGGGGGAGTACTACGCGTTGTGCGACGCGCTTCCGGAGGGCGACCGCGCCGCGTTTCAACGCGCGAACGGGATGAAGATGGAGCAGCTCAAGGCGGAGCTGAAGCAGATCGATCACGCGCACGACGATCACTGACGCGGTGGACGACGCGCGCGTGGACGTGGCGTGGAGAGAGGCTGGAAGGCGGGGGGTGGGGGGTGTTGGGTGGGGGGTGGAAGGTGCGCGGGCGCGCGGCGGAAAACACTGACCAGCTGATGCCCGGAGAGAGGTGTTTCGGTTACACGCGCGTCCTACTCCAGTCCGCTCCGCTTGTTTTAGGGATTCACGTCGAGACCGCGCCCCTCCGTCCGCGCGCACTTCACGACCGCACGAGGCCGAGTCGCTCTCGGGTTCAGATTCGAATTATCCCGCGCGCGCGCCTCGCGCTCTGAACCCGCGACCTCGCGCGCGAGGACGGACGCGCGCGCGCGCGTCGATCGTCGATCACGACCGAAGAGACGCGGCGTAACACTATTTTCACGAGCGACTAATCGAGGGTGAAAAGAAGCGCGATGGACGAGGCCGATCCGCTGCTCGCGCGCTCGCCGCGCGCGCGGTCGAGATGGACGTGGAAGATCGGGATCGCCGCGATGGTGATCATCGGCGTCGTATTCGCGATCGCGGCCGCGAACGCGGGGCTTCGCGGCGAGATCGGGGCGGCCGCGACGTTGGGAAAGCAGCCGGAGGGAACGGGAAAGAAAGCTTCCGTCGGCCTCGCCGCGGAGGCGCGGAACGCGGCGGCGAAGACCGCGGCCGTGGGCGACGACGACGCCGACGAGACCGCGCCCGCGCCCGCGCCAGCCAACGAGACGGTGCCCGCCGACGATGTGGCGGCGGCGGCCGAAGAGACGGCGGCGGCCGCCAACGCGACCGCGCCCGCGCCCGCGCCAGCCAACGAGACGGTGCCCGCCAACGATGTGGCGGCGGCGGCCGAAGAGACGGCGGCGGCCGCCAACGCGACCGCGCCCGCGCCCGCGCCCGCCGCCGAGACGCCGTCCGCGTCCCCCGAGGAGGACGCCGCGCGGGCGAACGATTGGGAGGAAGCCGAAGCCGCCGAGGATAAGGAGGGCACCGCGGCGCCCGATGAGACGGCGGCGCCCGCCGATGAGACGCCGCCCGCCGCCGAGACGCCGCCCGCGTCCCCCGAGGAGGACGCCGCGCGGGCGAACGATTGGGAGGAAGCCGAAGCCGCCGAGGATAAGGAGGGCACCGCCGCCGACGAGACGGCCGCACCCGCAGACGAGACCGCGCCCGCGCCCGCGCCCGCGCCAGCCAACGAGACGGTGCCCGCCGACGATGTGGCGGCGGCGGCCGAAGAGACGGCGGCGGCCGCCAACGCGACCGCGCCCGCGCCCGCGCCAGCCAACGAGACGGTGCCCGCCGACGATGTGGCGGCGGCGGCCGAAGAGACGGCGGCGGCCGCCAACGCGACCGCGCCCGCGCCCGCGCCAGCCAACGAGACGGTGCCCGCCAACGATGCGGCGCCCGCGACCGCGCCCGCGCCGTCCGCGGCGGCGTCGGCGGACGTGGCGGACTACGAGGCGAATGCGGAGGCGGAGCCGGCGAAGGACACCATGGCGGCGGTAATCGAGATCACGGTGAAGAACGACGAGACCGTGACGACCGCGCCGGGGGACACGTACACGCTGTTCATTCACAATTCCAAGACGGTCGCGCAGCTGAAGGCGCGCGTGAAAGACCTCGACGGCGTCCCGCCGGAGCGTCAGATTTTGTTTTTCAACGGGACGAGGCTCGAGAAGGACGGGAAGGCGCTGAGGGAGTACGACATCGAGACCGGGGACACGGTCACGGTGCATCACACGTCGTACTGGAAGAAGGACGCGTGATCGACGTCGAGAGCGCGCGTGGGGATTGATTGATAGATGCCGTAGAAGCGCTTCGGCGCGTTGTATCATCGGACGAACGTGTTTTTCTCACTGTTCCGGGCAGACGACGAGCTGACCGGAGCGGAGCGCCCGCCTGCAGTGAGGAAGAAATCCCTAAAAGTAGAACAGCACTCGCATTGCGCGCGCGCGACTCCACGCGACCGTGGAAGCCGACGCGACGCCCCGACTTCGCGGGAGCGCGTTCACCTCGAGAGCGGGTCAGGTGCATCGAGGGAGACGTCGATCGCGATGGCGTCCGCGACGCTCGTGCCGCGGTGCGTCCCCGTCCCCGCGCGTCGTCGTCGCACCGAATTTGGCTCGTTCCGTCCCCCCGCCGATTGATTGGCCCGTCCGCTGACTCTCCGACCCCTCACCCAGGCACGTGTTCGGCATGAAAGGAGACGTGAAGGACAACATCGCGTACGCGGACGAGACGACGGTGATCTTCCCCGCGGGGAACAACGTCGTGCTGCACCATCTCGAGTCGAAGACGCAGCAGTTCGTCCCGGGCACGCCCGGCGCCAAGGGCGTCGACGCGATCGCGGTGAGCGCGAATAAGAAGTGGCTCGCCGTCGCGGAGAGCGCGGAGAAGGCGCAGATCACGATCTACGACCTGCACACGCTGAAGCGGAAGAAGGTGCTGACGACGACGGAGGTTGGCTCGGAGGTGCGCTCGACGCGACGACGCGGCGCGACCGCACCGCGCGCGTTCGTTCGCCCCTCTCGGAACTGGGCAACCGGCGTCGTCCTCCCTCGACTCCAACTCGTCTCCCTCCCGCGACTCGATCGACGCTCGCTTTGACTCACGCTCCGCGACGCCCACCTCCTCCTCGTGACGCCCGCAGAGATACGCGAGCATGAGCTTCTCCCCCGACGGCAAGCTCCTCGTCGCCCTCGGCGGCGCGCCCGAGTGGAACGTCGTGCTCTGGCAGTGGGAGAAATCCAAAGCGTCGTCCGTCGTCCCGTCGCGCGTCGCCAATCAGGCGCCCGGGTCCGCGTACCAGTGCGAGTTCTCGCCCTTCGTGAACGCGGACGGCGGGTACACGGCCACGGTGTGCGGGCAGAACTTATTCAGGGCGTTTAAGATCAACGACGGCGTCATGAAACCCCTCGCGAGCGCGCTCGGGAAGCGAGAGATGGGAAGCACGTTCACCGCGCACGGCTGGCTCCCCACGGACGAGCCCGGCCGAGAGCGGTGCGTCGTCGCGAACGAGGAGGGCGACGTGCTCGTCGTGGAGAACAACGAGGTGGTCGCCGCGATTCCCGCGACGGAGAAGTACGAGGGGTGCGCGATTCACTGCATCGTGCCGTTTGGCGTGAAGGGGTTCGTCGCCGGCGGCGAGGATGGCGCGTTGCTCGTGTACGAGAAACAAACGGACGAGCGCGAGCCGTTTAAGCTCACAAAGTCGTTCACGATCGAGTCCGACGGGAAGAACGCGTCGATTCGAAACCTCGCGATCGACGCGAACGAGGAGAACCTCATCGCGACGATGGATGATAACCAGGCGTGGACGCTCTCGCTCGCGAACATCGACGTGATGAAGCCGGAGGAGATGAACTTCGAGAGGATGTCCGCGGGGTTCCACAGCAATGGCGTCACCGGGGTCGATCTGTGCGTCAGGAAGCCGCTCGTCGTGACGTGCTCCACGGACAAATCCGTGCGGGTGTGGAACTACGTCGAGAGAACGGCCGAGCTCGTGAAGCACTTCGCGGAGGAGGCGCACTCCGTCGCGTTTCACCCGAGCGGTTTACAAATCTTAGTCGGCTTCTCGGATAAGCTCCAGCTCATGAACCTCCTCATGGACGACATCCGCCCGTACAAGGAGTTCAGCATCAAAGCCTGTCCGGAGGTTGTGTTCAACAACGCGGGGAACTGCTTCGCGGCGGTGAACGGCAACGTGATTCAGGTGTACAACATGTACACGTGCGAAAACGTCGGCAACTTGCGCGGGCACAGCGGGAAGGTTCGCACCGTGTGCTGGTCCCCGGACGACACGAAGATCACCACCGCGGGTTTGGACGGCGCGGTGTACGAGTGGGAGCTGAAAGACTTCAAGCGCGTGCACGAGAACGTGGACAAGGAGTGCTCGTACTCGTGCCTCGCGCCGAGCCCGGACGGAACGTTCACGTACGGCGTCGGGTCGGACAGAATGTTGAAAGAATTCGACGCCGCGTACGCGTTGACGCAAGAGTTTTCGTGCGACGCGGGGGCGCTGACGCAAGTCGCGATCCCCGCGAGCGGGCGCAGTCTGTTCGCCGCGACCGAGCGCGGGACGGTGCGGGCGTACAAGTACCCGCTGGACGGGGAGTTTCAAGAGTACCAGTGCCACGCCGCGTCCATCACGCGGATGCGTCTGACGTTTGACGACTCGCTTCTCTTTTGCGTCTCCGAAGACGCGTGTCTGTACGTGTTCGACGTGCAGACGGGAGAGAAGGAGAAGGCTGGGAAGGGCGCGGCAAAGAGCAAGGAAGCGCTCGTGACGTACGCGGAGGAAGTTCTCGTGACGAAGATGGACATCAACGAGAAGAACGGCCGCATGCAAGAGCTTCAAATGCAAGTCACGGAGCTTCAGCTCCAGTCCGAGTACCAGCTCCGCATGAAGGACATGAACATGAACGAGAAGATCAAAGACCTGACCGATCGGTTCACGCTCGAGCTCGAGCAAGCGCAGACGAAGTTCGAGCTTCTGCTTCAGGAGAAGAACGAGCAAGAGATGGAGTACGAAGAGCGCTTGCGGCAGACGGACGAGAAGAACGCGAAGGAGACGCGTCAGCTCGAGAACCAGTTCCAGGAGCAAATTCTCGTCGAGGTGGAGCGGTATCAAAATCTTCAGAGAGACAAGGACCTCCTGAACGAGCAGTGGGACGAGCAAAACTCTCTGCTCGTGGAGTCGCACGAGCGCGTCATCGAGGAGCTCACCGCGGAGTTTTCGGAGAAGCTCCAAGACGAGCAGATGCACGCGGAGCGCATGCGCGCGGATCGCGATTTGGGCGCGAAGGAATCCGAGGAGACGAGGAAGCAGCTCGAGGAGGACGCGGACCAGGAGATCGACGACCTGAAGAACACGTTCGAGACGAAGTTGAAACAAGAGCGCGAGGTTGGGTTACGGCTCAAGGGCGAGAACGGCATCTTGAAGAAGAAGTTCACCGCGTTCCAAAAGGAAGTCAACGACGCGAAGGCGGAGGTCCAGTCGTTGTTCAAGGATAAGCAAAACCTGTACAACACGATCGCCGGGCTCGAGAAGGACATCGAGGGTCTCAAGAAGGAGATCCGCGAGCGCGACGAGACGATCGGTGACAAAGAGAAGCGCATCTACGACCTCAAGAAGAAGAATCAGGAGCTCGAGAAGTTCAAGTTTGTGCTCGATTACAAGATCAAGGAGCTCAAGAAGCAGATCGAACCACGCGAGCAGGACATCGCGGACATGAAGAACCAAATTCTCGAGATGGATCACGAGCTCGAGCGGTACCACAAGAACAACACGCACCTGGATCTAACGATCAGCGACTTGCGAGGAAAGCTCGCGGGGTTGCAAAAGGACGTTTTGAACCAGAGAAAGACGATCCAGGACCGCGACGGGAAGATTCATCAGTTCCAGAAGGACCTCCACGAGACGGTGCGCGTGATTCAATCACCGAAGGCGCTCGCGGAGAGCGTCAAGGGTCTGTTCCAACGACACACGAAGGAGCGCGACGACGTCGAGAACGTGGACGACGACATCCAGAAGGAGTACCAGCGCCAGCGCGAGTACCTCGAGAGGACGATCGAGAGCTTGAAGCACAAGCTGCACAAGGACATGGAGTCGCATAAGTCGGACAACATGCGCATCATGCAAGAGAACGTCTCGCTCATCAAAGAGATCAACGAGCTGCGACGCGAGATCAAGCAGGAGAGGCAGGCGAAAAAGAACGCCGCGGCGGCGGACGCCTCGCGAAGGAGCGCGTCCCGGGCGTCCACCGCGAACGGCGGCAGTCGCGGGAGCGCGCGAGGCGCGTTCGGAGCCGCCGGCAAGGGCGCGGGCGCGTTCGACGTCGACGAGATGCTCGCCCGGGAGATCGAAGCGCAGCGCGCGGAGATTCAAAATTTACGCGTCGACGCCGAGCGCAAAGACGCGCTGCTTCGCGCCGCCAACGCGGCGCTGGAAGCGGAGAAGGCGCGCGCGGAGGCGGAGAGGGCCGCCGCGGCGGTGGACGACTCCCCGAGACGCGCCGCGCGGAGGAGCTTGAAGGAGCCTCCCACGCCGAAGGCGGACGAGGAGGAGGAGGAGGCGGCGACGGCGACGGAGGCGGCGGAGGAGGACGCGGCGGGGGCGCCGGAGCCCGAGCCCGAGCCAGAGCCCGAGCCCGCGTCGGAGCCCTTGGACGAGGGCGAGCTCGACCCGGACGCGCCGGTGGAGCCCGTGGAGGACTTCGACGACGACGATTCCCTCGGCGGGGCAGCGCCTTTAGAGCCGTAAAGAGCTGTAACGACAACGTAGACACGAGCAAACGCCTCTCGCTTCGCCTCTCGCCACTGCTGCTCGCACTCTGTGGCGCTCGTCTTCAGCTTTCGTCGCGTCTGCCAACAGAAACCGAGAGTTTGACTTTTTAACAGCTCCTGTCAGTAACCGTCGGCGCGGCCAGGGATGGCGGAGGTCGAGGAGGACGGCCCGGTCGAGGTGACGCTCGTCCTCCATGGCGGTCGCGTCGGCGAGGAGCTCGGGAACATGGCCCTCCTCGAGGTCGGCTCCGCGATCGCCGCGGTGACGTCGCCGCCTCGCGGGGAGGAAACGCGCGTCCGCGAGATCTACGCGCCCACCGGCGCGACCGACGGGCCGCGGTTCGACCCGATACCGCCGCACCCGCGCGCGCACGAGCCGGAGTGGATGCACGACGACGTCCCGCGCGCGTTCCCGGGGGCGTCGCACCCGACGACGGTGATACCAGGGGTGAAGTTCCCGTCCATGGCGGCGTGCAAGGCTGCGGTGCGACGATGCGCGCTGATCCGAATGGCGCTGCGACCGCGATGCGCGTCCGGCGCGCCCGCGGACGTCGCGTCCGCGTTCGGCGCGGAAGCGTCCGCGAGATGCGCGGCGCAGGTGCTCGCGCCAGGGCGGAAGCACATCTCTCGCGCGCAGCTCGAGCGCGTCGGCGCGGAGCTGTGGGACGCGGGGGTCGGGAGAGCGGTCGCGGTCGATCGCGCGTGGCTCGAGGCGCTCTCGGCGAGACGAGACGCGGACGCGCCGGCGAACGACGCGCCGCCGCCGCCGCGGACGATTCTCGCGCCACCGGCGGGGACCGCCGCGGGGGGTGGACCGGACGCCGCGGCGCGAGAGGAGGGAAACGAGGAGGACGAAAAGGCGAACGACGCGCCGCCGCCGCCGCCGCCGCGAAGTCCGCCGTCGCCGCCGGAGAAAACACCCGAGGACGACTTCGACGCGTCGGTGTTTCTCCACCCCGAAGGCTCGCTGTGCGCCATCGCGTGCTGGGGCGCGGACGCGCGCAACGCGCTGCGTCACGTCGAAGCTCCGAACGCGATGCCCCCCGAGCAAGCGTTTCTCGCCGTCAACGCCGCGAGGGTGAGACCCGGGGACGTCGTCTTGGACCCGTGCGTCGGCGGCGGCGCCGTGCTCCTCGCCGCGTTGAAGTTGGGCGCGAGGCGAGCCATCGGATGCGACGTGGACGCGTACGCGTTAGACGCGGCGACGCGCGCGCTGAGGGAGGTGGACGTGGACGTCGCGGGGAGGGCGACGTTGAGGCGCGCGTCGCTGCTGGACGCGTCGTGGCACGACGACGTCGTCCCGCGCGACGACGACGAGCCGGCGGCGGCGGAGACCGAAACCGCCGGCGACGACGAGAGCGGCGCCGCTCCGGCGACGGCGGCGGAGGGGAAGACGCCGTCCGCGAGCGCGAGAAAGACCAAGGCGGAGGAAAAGTACGACGCGCACCAGCGCTTCCTCGAGGAACATCGTGGGGACGTCGACGCGATCGTGACGGACTTGCCGTACGGCGTGCGGTCCGCCGCCGTCGGCGTCGGCGAGGGCGCGGAGCACTCCGCGACGCCGAAGGAGATGTTGATCGGTTTGCTGGTCTTGGCGAGGAAAACGCTGCGACCGGTTAGCGGCGTCGTCGCGGTGTGGCTGCAGCGGTGGGACGGCGACGGCGGCATGAGCGTCGAGGACGTCACCGCGTGCGTGGAAGAGCACGGGTTCGAAGTCTTCAGGGTCGCCGCGGAGGATCGGAAAAACGGCGTGTGCCGCGCGTTGTACGTCCTGAAGAGAAGAGAAGGGGAGGCGGGAAAAAAGGAAAAGGAAAACGAAGACGAAGACGCCGCGAGCGACGCCGAGAGCGACAGCGGCTCGGACGTCTCCGCGGACGCAGACCCGGAGACCGCGGATATTCTGAAACGCGTCGCCGTCATCGATGAGTGCGTCGACTTCAACGAGGCGCGCGAGGTTGAACTCCGCCGCGCGATCGTCTTACACGCGCGCTTGCGAAGGAACGAAAACTACCGCCGCGTCGCGGAGGACGGCGGCCTCGACCCGTGGCGCGCCGCCTGGGTCGGCGACATGGCCGACCTCGAGCGTCACGTCAAGCTCATCGGCGCGAGCGCGCTCGTGAACGTCAAGGAGCCGTGCGGCGCGAAGAACACGCCGCTGCTCGCGGCGGCGGGCAACGGTCGCACGACCGCGCTCGCGGCGATGCTCGATCTGAGCGCGCAGGGCGTCTCGGCGCGGCCGCAGCCGCCGACGAGGGCGGACGGGACGTCGCTGCCGGTGCACGGCGGCGCGATGGCCATCACGAAGATGACCCGCGGGGCGATCATCAAGTCCGCGGAGCACGGGCACCTCGACGCCGCGGTGTTGCTCATGCGTCGCGGCGCGAACCCCGCGGATCCGCGGGACGAGGGAGGGGCAGAGGTGGGCGGCGGCGGCGGCGGCGGCGGCGGCGGCGGCACGGCGTTGCACTCCGCCGCCGAGCGCGGGCACACCGCCGTCGTCGAGGCGCTGTGTTTCTGCGAGCGGTACTGGTCCCCCGGTCAGGGCCGCCCGCGGTGGTGGGGCGCGGGGTGGCTGCGCGAGGCCCTCGCCGCGAAAGACGCGGACGGGCGCACGCCGCTCGAGGCCGCGACGCGTTGGGGCCACGCGAACGTCGTCAGGACGCTGATCAAGGCGGACCCGGACGGCGTCTCCGCGGAGAAAGCCGCGGCGCTCCTAACACTCGCGACGCGATGGGGGCACGCGGAGACGTTCCACGCGATCATCGAGACCGCGGGGCACGGGCGCATCCCCGCGCTTCAGCCGGGCGTGGAGGAAGAGGCGAGACGGTGGAGCCGCGCGAAGCTCGTGGACGTGATCGCGGACTGGCGTCGCAAGGTGTACCCGGAGTCCGTCCCGCCGCCGCCGCCGCCGGCGGTGGACGGCGCGCGCGTCGTGCACTGGGACCCCGCCACCGGCGCCGCGGTGCTCTACGTCCCGAGCTTTTGGGACCCAGACGCGGGGTACAAAGCCCTGCGCGAGGAAGTCGAGCGCGGGGGAGGGTACGTCTCGAGGGATGACCCGCTCGTGATGCCGGCGGATCGAAGAGGCGAGCGGAAGCCGGTGCCGCGCGACCAGGCGTATTACGGCGCGTGTTACCTCGGCGCCGCGGACGAAAACGAAAAGCGGCAACACGTGTCACGCGATGATTCGTCGTCGTCGTCTGCGAACGGCGACGCGATGCCGTCGCGCACGCTGTGGTGGTCGTCGTACCGGTACAACCCGGACCACACGCGGCAGCCGCCGCCGCGGCCGCCGCCCGCGATCATCCGCGGTGTCGCCGCGAAAGTGAAGGCGATCAGCGGGCAGACGTGCAACCACGCGGTCGTGAACCGGTACGTCGGCCCGTGGGACAGCATCGGCCCGCACAGCGACAAGGTTCTGGATCTAGATCCCGATTCTTACGTCGTCTCCGTCAGTTTCGGCGCCGCGAGGGTGATGACGTTCGAGCCGAAACGCGTCGCGCGCGACCTCGGCGGCGGTGGCGGCGCGACGCGATTCGCCGACGATGTGAAAAAGGCGCGAATGAAGTTACGCGCGGAGTTGAATAAGAATCCGACGTGGCGGGACGTCAGCGCGGCGAAAGCCGCGGCGGCGCCGTTCAGCCGCGCGAAGGCGCTCGCGATCGCGCGCGAGAGGGAGCTCGGCGCGACGCTGCGGGCGTCCGACGCGTCGGTCGCGAACGCGGCGGCGCACGCGCGCGAGGTTCGGAACAAATGGCTCGAAGCGAAAGCCGCGAGCGGGTTCCGCGTCGCCCTCGAGCCCGGGAGCGCGATCTTCTTCAACATGGCGTTCAACGCGGAGTGGACGCACGCGATACACCCGACGAACACCGCCCCGGGAGCGCCCGCGCCGCCGAAAGAGTTCAGAGGCGAGGACGAAGACGAGGCGTCGGACGAGGACGAGGACGACATCCTGGACGTCGTCGACGACTTGAAAGACGCCGCCGCGGGGGACGAGCCGGTGATGGACTTCTCCAACGCCGCTGGCGAGCGCATCGGGGTGACCTTACGACGCAGCGTCACGGTGTTCGACCCGGTGAGACAGACCGAGGCGATCGCGGGGGATAAGTCCAGGGCGTGGAGGAAACGGATTTGGAAGCCCCTGAGCGAGATGGCGGACGTCGAAGAGAGCGAAAAGCCGTGGCGGGAAAAGAACGGGTGCTCGCCGATCAAGCTGAAGCCGAGCAAAGCCCCGGGAGGGGCGTGGGAGGTCGTGTTCGAGGACGAGGTCTTGCGAGCCGCGGAGTATTACGCGACGACGAACGTAGACGTGGACGTGCACGCGGACGAACACGCGGGCGTCAAGAGCGAAAATTAATTAGATCAGTTTGCCTCGCACGTTCGTCCCTCGCGCTCGCAGTCTCGCTCGCAGCAGGCGCCGCGAACCTTCGACCCCGCCTTTCTCTCGACGACGTCGCTCGAACGCAACGGCGGGAGTAAATCCTCCTCGCTTCGGCACGGGTGCCGCGCCCACGCCGCCATCGCCTTCAGCGCGCGCTTCTCCCGGATCCTCACCACGAGCGCCATCCTCGCGCGGTGCATCGCTCGACGCTCTTCGTCTCTCCAGCTCGGCTTGTGATCGCCGCTCTCCGCCCTCTTGACCGCGCCGGACTTGATCCCGGCTCGCCACCCGCCCAACCCCGCGCGCGCGCGCTCGCCCGCGCGCTCCGGGCCGAGCTGCTTCAGACGCTTTACGTCGACCCGCAGGGACGCGGTCGGGAACCGTCCGACCGTCAGCGCGGTCTCTGCCAACGCGACGAGCGCGACGGCGACCCTACTCATCTGGTCTTGGCGCTCCTCGAGGTCCGAGTCGTCGTCGTCTGCGGCGCGCGGCGCGTGGAGACGAGCGCGTGGACGGTCAGTCGGTCGGTCGCGCGTGCGGAACGGACGCGCGCGGGCGGTGGAAGAGTGAAGCGGACGCGGGGGAGCCGTCAGAACGTTGCGCAGATCAAAGCGCTCCTTTGTCTCTCGTCACGACGGACTTTTCAGCCCGCTCGGAGATCCCACAAAGGTATCGTGATCACTCGGCTCTCCCGCGACGCTGAAACGAAAAACACCGCTCGAAACGAAAAAGAACGCGCGCGCGTCGAACGCGCGAGACGCACCGACGCCGGCGCCGTCCCAAATTTGGGAAGTCGTCATAGGCTTCGCGCCTCCGAACCCGTCTTCGTCGTCTTCGTCGTCTTCGTCCGAGTACGCCCCCGTTTGGTCGTCTCGTTCGCCGCGCTCGTACGCGTCCGCGGCGCGCAGCACCCCGAACTGAAACCTGTGCATGGACAGCACGCGCACGGCGTGTCTCAGCGCGACGGACGGCCGCCCCGTTCTCGAGACGTAAAATTTATCGCGGCTGTTCGACAGAATACCGCGTCGGCGCAGCCAACGAAGCCGATCCATCATGTCCTTTCTCGATACCTCACCGATCCCGAGGTCGTACTCGTCGTCCGTCTCGTCGTCTTCGTCGTCGTCGTCGGAGTCGGAGTCGGAGTCGCTCTCGGAGTCCTCGTCGGAGTCCTCGTCGGAGTCGTCTGCGTCGTCGTCGGCGTCCCTGTCCTCGGGGTCGTCCGCGAATCGATGAATCTCCGCAGTCTCCGCGGTGTACCTCGCCATCGACGCCGCGGCCATGAGCTCCCTGACGCCGCACTCGACGCCGCCACCGTGTGGGTTCTTCCTCAGCGTGAACCCGTACCGCCGCAGAAGCTCCGCGTCCCCGAGCGGGCCGTACGTGTTAAACACCTCCGCGCCCGCGGGGACGCGTTTCGTCGCGACCATCCGCAGCTCGCGCGCGTCCGGGTCGTGCGTCAGCCGCACGGACGCGTCCAACGGGGAGGCGTGGTTGAGCATGTCCCAGAACGGCACCATCGCCTGCGTCGTCCCGCCGCCGCCGCCGCCGCCGCCGCCTTCGGAGTCGGATGCGTCATCGTCGTCGTCGTCGTCGTCGCCGCCGAGGGTGAACGAAAACCCGGCGACGAGGGCGGCGGCGTGGAGGTACATCTTCTGCGCCTCGAGCACCTCCGCGTCGGCCTCGTCGTCGTCGGCCTCGTCGCCCTCCTCGTCGTCGATATCGTCGTCGTCTTCGCCCGCGTCGCGGCGTCTTCGGACCCCGCCCGGGGCGCGCGCGAACTCCGGGTTCGCCTCCAGGAACGGCCGCGCGACGTGCCGCCAGTGCTCCGCGGTCATGGAAGGGAGCTCCAATGCCTCGTCCTCCATCTGCATCAGGTGATCCAGCGCGGACGTCCCTTCCAGCTCCGCGAGCTCCGCGCCGGACCACGCGAGCGGCGAGTGCGTCGCGCGGAGCGTCGGCAGCGCGGCGAGGTAGGGCGCGAAGTCGGACTCGTGGCCTCGGGACATCTCCGCGAGGACCGCGAGCACGAGGGCTTCGCGCTCGAGCCGCGGCGACGCCTCCGCGCTCATCTCGTCGCCGCCGAGCCCGAACTTCGTCAGCGCGTCCGCGGCGACAGACGTCTCCGCGGTGATGATCGCGTCCTCGGGGACGCTCACGAGGACGTCCCCGGGGGCGATGTCGCGCGTCGCGACGCATCCGCGCCCGGTGCGAGGGAAGCGGCCGACGCCGACGCCGTTCAGAACGATGCCCCTGCGCTTCATCCATTTCACGTACGCCTTCTCCGCGGGGGAGAGCTCGTGCGAGGGCGGGGGAGGACGTTCCGCGGAGACGATGACGTACGCATCGCGCGCTTCAGCCTTGCGCTTGCCCATCGTCGCGGAGGGCGGGGCGATCCGATCTGAGGGTGGCGGCTGAAAAATGGCACTGAAATAACAACCTCACTGCAAGCAGCTTGTCTGGCGGAGGGCGGGGCGATCCGATCTGAGGGTGGCGGCTGAAAAATGGCACTGAAATAACAACCTCACTTCAAGCAGCTTGTCTGGTGCCGCGGTCGCGCGCGCCGTCGTCGTCGCACAACGTGGCGGCGTATTATTTCAACTCGACCCGACGCGATCCGAGGCGGTCGTGCGGAAAAAATCAAACGAATCAACATCTCTCTAGAGCTCCGTCTTCGCGTCGGGCCCGTCTTCCGCGGCTTTCCGCGCCGCGGCGGCGGCGGCCTCGGCAGCCTCGGCGGCGGCGGCGGCTTTCGCCTCCTTCGCCCTCCGCCGCCTCTCCTCCTCTCTTTTCAACTCCGCCTCCATGCGCTCGCGGTGGAACGTCGGCATCTGGTACGCCTCCTTGATGATCCCGGTGAACTTCGCGAGCGCGGGGGGGTACTGCCCGGGGCAATACCACGACCCGGGGGCGTCGCACAGGCGGTTCGCGGGATCCGCGAGCCACCTCTTGGACTTCTCCGAGACGTTGACGACTTTGTAAATTCTCACCTTGCGGTACTTGGACGTGTACACCTCCTGGAACCGCTCCTCGGATACCTTACCTTCGAACGACACGAGCTTGTACAGCAGCGACTGCGCCATCATCGGCGTCGGGCGGCCGTATCGATCCACGCCGAACTTGGACTGGATCTCGTACATGTCCACGGTGCCGCCATCGTGCCCGATGCTCTTCCCGATGCGAAACAAATGCGGCGACTTCGCCATGTCGTCCGCGCCGCCGCCCGTCCACACCAAGACGTAGTCCGCGAGGTGGCGGATCACCCGGTGCCCGCGTTCTTCCGTCGCGGTGAGCGACCGCGCCAAGTTCGCGATGTGCTCGTGGTTCCACGTGTTCCCGTCCGCGATCGAGGTTCGGTTCGCGATGCCGGTGATCTGGTACCCGTAGTCCCACCACGCCATCACCCGCGAGTCCTCGGGGGTGTTGTCGCGCAGCCACTCGTACGCGTCGACGTAGTCCCTCACGATGATCGTCTCGCCGTTCTGTAGCGTGCCCTTGAACATCACGCTCGGCTGCGACATCCCGCGCGCCATCTCGTGCGAGTAGTCGACAAAGTCCGGGACGTGGCGGACGCCGACGACGAGGAGGTACGCCGCCGCGAATAAACGCACGCCGCGCGTGGTCTTCGAGTCGTAGAATTTCACGAGCGGGTCCGTGACTTTTTTCTTCCAGATTTCCCCCAGGGTGGCGTCGTCGACGGTTCTCGCGGCGCCGGAGCTCCGGCCGCCTTTCCCGCCCTTGCCTCCCTTCTTCCCGGGCTTCGCCGGCGACGGCGACGGCGGGACGGCGTCGCCGTTCTTCTTCTTCTTCTTATCGTCCGCGTCGTCGCCCGCGTCGCCGTCGCCGCCGCCGTCGTCTTTCTTCTCCGCGCTCTTCTTAAAAAAGACCCCGGCGAGCAGCTCGCGGGAGTTCTCGAACGCGTCGTCGAGGAGGAACCCGACGCCGACGCCGGTGAACGCGCTCGCGATCGGGCCCAAAAAAATGATGAGGCGGACCATGCGGTTCGCGAAGTAATACGCGGTGAAGCCGTACAGCGGCAAGAACAGCGCCGCCGGGGACATCGTGCGAAGGAACCGCCACGACGCGACGATGAACCCAAACGGCGCGACGTAGAACGGGTAGTGCAGGTACCGCCAGTACGCGTCCGGAGTCCCGGGCTGGTGCTCCGCGACCGAGTCCACGAGCGGGTTCCCGGTCTTCGTGTGCTTGATGAACAGCCCGCGGACGCGCACGGACAGCGGACCGAAGTACCCGGTCGGCGCGAGGATCGCCACCGCGGCGGCGGCGCACGCGGCGGCGGCGCAGTACACGTTGACCCTCGTGCGCCACGCCGCGGCGTCTCTCAGTCCGCGTCGACGCACCAACCGCTCCGCGACCTCGAGGACCTGCATCCCAACGAACACCGCGGCGGGGCCGAGCTGCTCCATGGACTTGATCGGCGCGAGCCCGACGACGGGGAACTGAATCGCCCCCGCGGTGCCGACGAGCCAGAAGAGCGAGTACGCCTTGCGCAGCGACGCGTCGTACCTCCCCAACGAGACCAACGCCGCGGCGTGTAAGCCGATCATGTTCAACACGAACGTGTACCCGCCCCACGCGGCCACCATGTACACGTACGCGAGCCCCGCGAGCGCGCCGAGCGGCCACGACGCGGGCGTTCGCAGACAGCGGCACCACGCGAAGAAGGTGAGGCACATGGCGGTGACGGCGAGGCTCTCGTTGTCGTAGCCGCCGCCGACGCTGCGCATGGTGTGCGCCGGTATGATGGCCATCACGAGCGCGGCGACGACCGCCGCGTTCGCGCTGCCGTGACACTCTTTCGTTAAGAACGCCACGAGCAGCGTGGCGACCGCGCCGAACCACGCGGGGAAGAACACGCAGACGTCGTTCAGGGACATGGCGTAGGACGACCCGAGCGCGTTGAGACACTTCCAGATGGACACCGCGGTGACTTGCATCCCGGGGTAGATCGTCGTCCCGACCGGCCGTCCGAGCGGGTACCAGGACATGTAGTCGAACCACCTGCTGAACTTCGCCCAGCCGTTGTCCGCGAGGTACTGCGTCGCGCGAAAGTTGAACCACGGGTCGAACTCGTGGATGATCCGGCCGTACTCGCGGATCGCGTAGAGGCGGATGTCGTACGCGAGGTAGCACGCGATCGCGAGCGCGGCGACTCGCAAGCCTTGGATCGCCGGGTCGAACGCGCCCGCGGGCGCGGGTTGGGGCGCCATCGCGGACGGCGGGGTGTGGCTGCGCGCGCGATCTGCGGGCGGATCGAGCGAAGCGCGCTCAGATCGTCGCCCTCGCGGAGGGAAGTGATGAGAGGAGCCGATCGACGCCGCGCCGACTTCCTCTTCTGTTGACGCGTCCTTTAGCTTTCTTCCGTCGAGAGGTTCAACGGAGAGGTCGAATCGAGCGACGGGTGTTCATCGGTCGTTTGAAAGGCAACGCCAACAAACTTTGAAACCGAGGGTGGGTGAAAGAACATGTGGCTGCCCGAGAAGAATCTCGAAGCGACGCCTCGACTCGCCGTGCTGTTACAAATCGAATTCGCCCGGGCGGGAGAGTCGAGCGCGCGGGACGCGGGATCCACGCTCGCCGGATCTCAGCGGGCATCGCGTTCAAATCCCGCGAAGGCGTCTCGCTCGCGCGTCGCGTCGGTCGGCATGATGACGTCCGCGGAGGCGCCGAGACGCGGGAAGCGCCGCGACATTGCGACGCCGCTGAAGACGCTGTGGGCGATCGCGCAGTGCTACGCCGTCGTGGCGGTCGCGTGCGGGGGGTACGCGTCGCTCACGGGAGGGTTCAAACCGAAGACGAGGGTCACGGTGCGCGCTCGCGAAAGCCCTCGCCCGTCGCGCTCGTTCGCGCGTGAACCCGCGTCGCCGCCGCGATCCCGCGCGCCTTCGACCCGTTGATGAGACGTCCACATCCTCGCACCTCTTCTCGGTTTCCGCTCGACCGTCGGCGTCCTCGACCGACGACGCGCCCGCACTCGCTCCACCCCTCTCTCGCAGGCCTCGAACCGAGGTCTCTTCGCCGGCGGGCCGTCCATCTTCGAAGACGCGCGGCGCGTGGACGACTTCTTCGGCGCGTCCTCCAAGGCGAATCACGCGTTGCGATTCGCGTGCGCCAACGCCGTCCGCGCGACGACGAACGCGCCCACCGCTCTGGGGGATATCGCGCTCGCGGCGGCGACGACGACGAGAGCGACGGTGTCTCCGGTCGCGATGGTGCTCTACAGACTTCTGGGGTTGAAAACGTACGTGGATCCGTTGTATCCGTTCGTGGCGCCGCCGATGCGGGCGGCGGCGAACGTCGCGGCGACGACGACGCGGACAGTCGTCGGCGGGGCGACGCGCGGCGCCGTGGACCTTCTCGCCGCGATGGGACGTTCGCCGCTCGGCGCGCCGTTCCGAGGCGCGGTGAAGTATTGCGCTTACCCGGAGCGGTACGGCGCGCACACGATACCGAAGAAGCCGGACGTGTCGTATCTGCGTTGGGGGGAAAAGTGCCGGACGTCGAAATGGGGGGAGTGGACGAAGTGCAGCGTCGAGTGCGGCGTCGGGATCACCGCGCGGATGAACCACTGCGGGAGGAAAGAGGTCAAGCGGTGCGTGGGCGCCAAGAAGTTCGGGTGCGACGGCGTGTGCGGCAGCGGCGCGGAGAAGGATTGCGCCGGCGCGTGCAGAGGCGGCGCGCGCGCGGACCCCGTCTCCGGTCTGTGCGAGCCGTCCGCCTCCGACAAGAAATCTTGGAGCGGCGCGCGCGGCGGCAAAGGCAAAGGCGCCGCGCGCGAGGAGACGACGACGAAGAAGAAGTCGCGCGCGCGGACGATCGCGGGGTCGTTCAACCTCCCGTGGCCGCTGTCGCTGGTCGCGTTCGCCGTTCTGAAGTGCGTCGGCGCGATGCTCTCGCCGACGATGTTCGTCCTCGTCGTCGTCGCGACGGTGACGCACCGCGTCGTCGTCGTGCACGTCTGGGAGAAGGAAGCAGGCGTCGACGACGAGCTCGTGACGATCCTGAAGACCGCGGTGCTGAGCGTCAAGGTGGCGTGGGAGAAAGCCGCGGAGACGGCGCCGTGGTTGCGCGGCGTCGCCGCGGGCGCCGCGCCCGTCGCGAGAGAAGCGATCGCGCGCGTCAAGGCGCTGCTCGCGAGATTCAAGGCGGCGCCGAAGGCGAAGAGCGACGACTACGTGACCGCGTCGGACGCCATGGGCGCGTTCATCAACATGGACTGGCTCAAATCCGTCGGCGCCGCGAGCTCGAAGCTTGAGGACGACGGGAAGAGGACGGGGAAGAAAACCAAGAAGATGACGAAGAAGCTCGCGAAACAAAAGTACCGCGAGCAGACACGACGCCAGATCCTCCCGGCCGCGATGGTGCGCGCGCGCGCGCTCACGGCGCTGCTGAAGATGTCCACCAACCCCACCGTCGAGTGGTCCTCGCGTCTTCGATGCCTCGCCGCGCTCGTGCGTCTCTCCGTGTTGGATCCGGGACGGCAGGCGATGATCGAGAGCATGGGCGGCGTCGACGTCGCCACGCAGGTATTGCTGACGTGGCTGCAGCAGCGCTCGCTGCAAGGCCCGGACAGCGCGATGCAGCTGATCCGCGTGCTTCTGTACGCCCCCGCGTCGTCGATTCTCGCCGCGAAGAGGCTCGCGGTGACGAGCGGCGAGACCGCGGACGCGTTGGCGAGGGTGCTGGCGGCGACGCCCGGAAACGTCGCCGCGCAACGCACCGGGCTCGCGTCGACGTGGCAGATCCTTCGACTCGCGGGGCCCAAGTCCGGGGTCGCGGAGAGGCTCGTCAAGGTCGTCGGGCTCTTCGCGCACCTCGTCGACGAGTGGGAGCGGAGTAAGCACGACGAGGGCGTCGCGCAGTGCATCGCGGGGATCACCTTGGAGCTCGCTCTGGGGAACAAAAAGATGCAGAAAATTCTCACCAAGCTCGGCGCACAGTTGCTCGTCGCGAAGGTGTTCGTCGCGCACCGGAGCTTGGACTTCCAAGGTAGGTACGTCGACTTGAAGGAGTGGATGCTGCTGCCGAACCCGGACGGGATCGTGAAGCACTACGTCGCGGGGGGGGTCGCGAAGGAGGTAAAGTCGAGCGACGACTGAGCGAGCGCGAGCGCGCGCCCGCCTGAATACCTTCAGTTATTTATGAATAAAAATCTTATAGCGAACTCAACTCACACGGTCGACGGCTTCGTTCTTTCCCGCGGGCGCGCCCGCCTCGCTCTCGCCCTCGCCCCCCTCACGCCCACGGGTTGTTTGCGTCGTCCGTCGCCGCCTCCGGGGAGTTATCGTACGCCCCCGAGCCGCTCTGCACCGGTGACGCCGGCCCGGACCGCGGGGTCGACCCGCCGTCCCCGTCCCACGCCCCGCTCGACCCGCTCTCCGGGTCGTTCGTCGCGGCGGGAGGATCCTCCGCCTTGTACGCGTCGCCGCCGCCGGAGATGCCCTCCGTGTTCTCCTTGTATCGCAGATACCCGAGCACGGCGCCGTACAAGAACATACACCCGAAGCTCATGAACGCGAAAGCGTACGTGGCTTCGTATTTTTCCTTGTCGCCTTCGTCGAAGGCGCATAAATTCGGGTAGTTGTTCTCCTGCGTCAACGTGCACTCGTTGTACGTCTCGAGGACCCAGTCCGCGGTGTACGTCTGCGTGTACGCGAGGGAGATCCCGTGCGACAGGAGCATGATCATCGTGTAGAACGTCGCGCCCAGGACGATGGTTATCCCCAAGGCCTTCTGCGGGGTATTTTTGTACGCGTACTCCCACATCGTGCACGCGACCCACAGCGCGACGGATATCGCCATGGAGAAGATCCCGAACTGCATCTGCGTGAAGAGCTTCGCTACGCTGCTGTTACCTTCCTCATAGAGCTCGTCTCTCAGCATCTGCATGTTCGAGAACGCCATCATGCCGGCGATGAACATGGAGATCACGGAGAACGCGCACAAGGCCCAGATGATCACGGCGCGCTTCTCGTTCGTGTCGAACCACGTCGCGGCGGTCGCGCAGAACTCCGAGAAATTGCCCATGACGACGGCGTTCGAGAGATGTGACGTGCGATCGGAGACGCGGAGGGCGCGTGATGAAGGACGCGGCGCGGCGCGGCGACGTCTGGACGCGGGTCAAAAGTCGCGGGCCAACGTCTCTGAGAGCGTTCAGTTTTGCGCGTGTCCGGGGATTCGCCTCTCAGACTCTCAGGGTCGTTCCATACAAAAAAAGTTTACCGGTCAGTTGAAAGGGGACGCGATCAAATGTTGAAACCGAGCGATGGGTGAAAAACTTTTGGATAGAACGCACCTCATCTCAAGCACTGAGAGTGCATCTGCACGGCACACACGGGCGCGGGAAAAGCGATGCTGACACCTGATGCTGACTCGATAAAAACGCACTTTCCCCGCCGCCGCCGCCGGCGAACGCGGCAGAGCGAAGCGCGCCTCCACGCGCGACGCGTCCCGCGTCCCGCTCGCGACCGCTTCCGGGGTCACGGCAGGGCACGCGGCGATCGCGCGCGAGCGAGGAGGGCGAGACACCGTCTCGATACGCCGCGCGCGTTCGCGGCCGCCGCGGTCTCATCGAGCGGGGTGTCGCGTCACTCGCGCAACAACAGATCTCGAATCTGTGCGCCCGCGATGGCGACGGAACCCCCGGGCGCGCCGAAGACGGTGACGTGGACGGATACCGCGAGGTTCGACACCGGCGAGTGGGTCTCCCTGTGCGACGACCCGAGCGAGCTGAGGCTGAAGTGCACGCAAGGTTTACGCGAGGCGCGAAGAGAGCAAGCGACGCAAGCCTGCGCGCACTACGAGCAAGCGCTCGCCGCCGCGGAGGTCGCGGAGGATGACGGACGGCTCGACGAGTCGCGGCAGATCATCGAGCTCGTGATGAACCATCTTCAAGATTCCATGGCGAGTTCGGAGTTCGAGGGCAGGCTGCGCGCGATCGCCGCGAAGCGCGCCGAGGGCGCGTCGACGACGACGACGACGACGAACGTCGCCTCCTCGGAAGAAGAGGAGACGAGGAGGTCTTTGAAGGCGGCGGCGACGACGGCTCCCGCCGTTGAGGAGGAGGAGGAGGAGGACGCGTCCGGGGGGGCATCGCTGACGCGCACGAAGAGCCTCCAGGAGCTCGAGGCGTCCGAGGACGAAGAGATCGGCCTCTTGGCAGACCTCGCGCGGGACCGGGACGCGCCGCGACGACGCGAGGACGACGGCGGCGGCGTCGCCGCGCCGGAGACGCCGACGCCCGAGACGGAGACTGAGAAGGAAAATAAAATCCCCGGCGCCGGGAGAGACGACGAGAGCGAGAAGGAAAACGCCCCGGCGTCCGACCCCGCGCCCGGCGCGCTGAGCGAGATGTCCTCGCTCGTCCCGGACGAGATCGTGCTCATGGCGCACGCGTGCTTCCTCGCCGGACGCGTGCGCGAGCGGCTGGGCGAGACGACGGAGGCGAGAGCGTTTCGCGTCGTCGGGTTGAAATACGCGAGGTGAGACTGCTTCCCATACGACCCCGTTCGCGTGGTGCACGCCGTTCCTTAAGGACTTTTCCCGTCGTCACTCTTCACCCGCGCTTCCCTTTCAACGTTTGACCGGTAAGACGTTCGACTGACCGATCGCTTCACCCACGCAGGTGCGTCCCGGGGGAGATGCCGAAGGACGCGACGGTGCCGAGGTTTGAGATTCCGAAGAGGAAGGAGTGGTGGGACGAGGACGAGGAGCGCGCGGAGCGCGAGCGCGGGGTGTTCGCGGAGATGGGAGAAGAGGAAGAGGACGAGGGCGAGGAGAGCGACGAGGGCGGGGGCGGGAGGGAAGAGGGCGGCGGGTGGGAAGAGGGCGGCGGGAGGGAAGAGGGCGGCGGGGGAGAGACGCGCGCGCAGTCGCGGCTGTCGGAGCACTTTTTCCGTTCCGTGAAACGATCGCGAAGGGACTCGGACAGCCTCGAGTGCGACGACGACGACGACGACGGCGAGGAGGAGGACGGCGAGAAGGACGGGGAGCGCTCGAGGAAGCACGCGTCGAGGAAGCACCGCGGACGGAAGCACAAAAAGGCCGAGCGCGAGAAGAAGCGCCGCAAGAAGAAAAAGTCGCACTCGCGGCGCTGAGCATCACGATTCTTTACGCGCGAGCGCGCGCGCGCGAACGATACAACGTAGACGACGCGTCACGGATGAAGTTTGTTTAATTAATCATCAATCACCCGCGCTACGACGCCGCTCTCCGCTCTCGACTATTCGACCCGTACAGCCCGCGTCCGCCGTTCGATCCGCCGCCGTCTCGCTCGTCGTCGATCAATCGCACGTACTCCGTCCCCGCCGCGCCGCCGCTAGCGCTTCCCGCCTCTCCTTTCTCCGCGCCCTCGCCCCCGCCCGGGACGAGGACGTCCTTCGGGAGGTTTCGCGTCGCCATCCACCAGTGGAACTGCCCCCATAGACAGAAGACCATCGTCAACGCGAGCGCGTATCGAATCCCGTCGTCGCCGTACGGCTTCTTAAACGCGTCCGAGAGCAACCCGACGATCACGGGCCCCATCGTCCCGCCGATCATGTTCGCGAGGACGCCGAAAAATCCCTGCGCTGTCGCGCGCATCCTGTCCGGGACGAGCGACTGCACGATCGCCCCCGGGGGCCCCGCCATGACCATGAACAACGCGACGACGACGGCGCTGGAGTACGTCGCCGCGTTCGCGTCGTCGACGAGGCACGCGAACACGTTTAGCGGCGCGGCGACGACGTTGCAGCCCAGCACGAACAGCAGCATGTGTCGCTGGTCCCCGCGCGAGCGCGTCGTGAGGTAATCGCCGACGACGCCGCCGAGGATGACGCCGAACCCGCCGAAGACGCCGCCGACGATGGCGATGCGGAAGCCAACCTCTCGCGTCGTCATCCCGTGCACGCGCTCTAAGAACGTGGGCAAAAACGCCATGATCGCCAGCCCGACGCCGAGCTGAATCATCACCCCCGCGGTGAGGTGCACGAACGTCGGGCGTTTCATCAGATGCGCGGCGCACTCCTTCACGCCTTCCCACAGCTCTCGCCACCAGTCGCGAATCGACGCGCACTTCGACCGCCGCCGCCGCCGCAACTCCCCGGTCTCCTCGTCCAACACGTACCGATGCGCGCGCGCGACCACCGGGGGGTCCCGCAGCGTGATCGCGATCACGGCCGCGAGTAAGTACCCCGGCGCGCCGAGGACGCCCAAGATCCCGCGCCACCCGAACGAGTTGACCATCACCGCGGCGCAAAAGTTCGCCGCCATGATCCCCGCGGCGAACCCGAGCTGCTGGATCGCGATCGCGCTCGCGCGCTCGTACGGACCGTACATCAGCGCGATCAGCGACACGGACGCGGGCGCGCACCCGGCCTCGCCTAACCCCACGCCGACGCGGAGGATCATGAGATCGCGCGAGGACGTCGCGAGCGCGCTGAGCGACGTCAGCGTGCTCCACACGAGGAGCGACGTCACGAGGAGTATCTTGCGGCCGTACATGTCCGCCACGCGCGCGAGCGGGATCGTCGCGACGGCGTATATGAGCACGAACGCGGCGCCGTTGAGCATCCCGCCGCCGAGGTCGGTCATGTGAAACTCCGGCGCGATCTCCGGGAGGAGGATCGACGGGATGTTTCTGTCCGTGCTCTGCATCATCGTGACGAGGAACAGGAGGAAGAGGACCCATCGGCGGTACCACGGGTTCGAGTAGCACGACACGAACGGCGGGGGGGTGTGATACGGCGGCGGCGGGCCGATGTCCTCGCTCGACGTCGACGGCGCCATCGCGCCGTCGGCGCTCGTCGGAGTGGCGAGGGGGGGGAGGGGGGGGCGCGTCAACACCCCCGCGGAATTAAATTGTTGTTACGTCGCGTCCGGTACGTCTGGCTGGTCGCGTTATTTCGACCTAAGTTGGTCCTCGCGCGTCCGCGTCGGGGGCAGTTCACGCCGCGCGCGTCGCGACTTCTCCGCCCCCGCGTCCGCCGCGTCCTTCTTCGCGCTCGGTGCAGTCGCGCCCGCATCGACCTTCGCACGGTCCCGAACCGCGCGCGCCTCTCGCACGCCGCTCCCGCGTCGCTCGCGTGGGTGAATTCAGAATTCGTCTTCACGAGGACGGAGGAGATCTCGCTGAACGATGCCGAAGTTCTCGGTCCCCGCGCCGACGCCGACGCTGGACCCGCGCGAGTTCATGGAGGGACTCGTCAAGTCCGGCGTCATGATCCTCCTTAGCGAGATCGGGGACAAGACGTTCTTCATCGCGGCGATCATGGCGATGCGCCACTCCCGCGTCACGGTGCGTCGCGGACGGACGGATCCCGAACCCGCGTCCCGCCGAGGGTTTGTTAGTCAGGGCGCGCACTTTTTCACGTCATCCGACGTCGTCTCCCTCCCGCGATGCGTCGCGTTCTCACCATCCGTTCCCACTCCACCGATGGTCGTCGACCCACCCCGTCTCCCGCAGGTCTTCGCCGGCGCGATCGGCGCGCTCGGGGTCATGACCGCGCTCTCCGCCGCGATGGGGTGGGCGGCTCCGACCCTCATCAGCAAAGTCTACACGCACTACGTCGCCGTGGCGTTGTTTCTCTTCTTCGGCGCCAGGTCGCTGTACGACTCGACCATCGCGTGGGATGGCGGCGGGCAAGCGGACGAGCTCCGCGAGGTCGAGGAGGAGCTCGGGGACGAGACGACGGGGAAGGATAAGGGCGCGCTCCTCGGGTGGAAGAAAACGCTCACGTTCGGGGGGTTACTCTCCCCGATTTTCCTCCAGACGTTTTTCATCACGTTCGTCGCCGAGTGGGGCGACCGGTCGCAGATAGCGACGATCGGCCTCGCGGCGTCGTCGGACCCGTACGGCGTCACCCTGGGCGGGATCGCCGGGCACGCGATCTGCACGGGCGCGGCCGTCCTCGGCGGGCGGCACATGGCGAGCAAGGTGTCCGAACGCGCGGTTTCCGCGTGCGGCGGCGTGTTGTTCGTGTTGTTTGGCCTGCACGCGCTCTACGTCGGGCCCGAGTGAGCGCGCGAACAGGACGTTCGCGCCGCTGTCCGCTATCCGCGTCGCGTCGCTTCGTTCGCAATTAATATCACGCTATTATCGTATCGTCGTCAATCTATCGCGTCGTCGTCGCGCGTCGCGCGTTCTGTGACGATTCAACTCTTCTCGCGACGGTTCGTTTCGTCTCACCCCGAGGACGGCGCGCGAAGTCGCGCGCACCACGCCGCGGCTTCGGCGTCCCCTCGCTTCGCGGCTTCCCCGAACCACGTCAGCGCTTTCGCGACGCACCTCTCGACGCCGTCGCCGTCGTTGTACATCACCCCGACGTTATACATCGCGTCGACGTCTCCGCGCGATGCGGCCTCGCGCCAGCACGCGAACGCCGCGGCGGCGTCGCGCTTCACCCCCGCGCCCTCGTACAGGTCGAGCCCGCGCTGGAAACACACGCTCGCGCGCAACGCGTCTCCCCCGACGCTTCCCCGCCTCGACGCGAGCTCGGCGCCGCGGAGCTTGGACCTCCGCCGCGCGTGCTTGTGGATCAGGACGTGCACTTTCAGCTGTCGCGTCTTGACCTCGTCCGCGTGCGCGGGGACGAGGCGCGCGCGGTCGACGGGGGTCTTCATACTCGCGCGCCCGTCGTAGTGTGCCCCGCCCTGCCGCGCCTCGAGCGAGCCTCGGAAAGTGCAGTTCAAATTTTTCGCGGGAAGCGAATCTCTAAACGTTGCACCTAAAGCGGATAGCGCGACGGGGTCGCGCGCAGTCGACGCGGCGCGCGCGTTCGTCCGTCCCCCGCCTTCGCGAGCGCCGCGACGGCGCGTATCCGCGTCCGTCGGGGACTCGTCGCGCGCGCGCGAGGAGCGGCGGGGACACGAGCGCGACGAGAGCGACGTCGTCCCCTCGTCTCGGCGCGGACGAGGAGATTCGTTCGTTCGAGCGCGCGCGCGCGTCGTCTCGCGCGAACTTTTGAGTGGGAAAAATGACGTCGTCGATGTGGGGAAGCGCGGCGAGCGAGTACGACTACACGACGCTGCCGTCCATGGCGGAGGCGTCCAGGGAGGAGGAAGAGGACGACGACCGCGACGCGTCGACGTACGCGGCCGGGTCCTCCCCGAACGGCGAGAGCGAGGGGAACCTCCTCCTGAAAGAGCGCGCGAGATCTCTGCGCATCGACAACCTCGACGCGTGGTTCACCTCGCTGTACGACTACTACCACGACAAAGGCTTCTACTGCATCGTCACGAGCCGCGTCGTGAACCTCCTGACGTTGGGGTTCACGATCGTCTTCAGCGCGTGGCTCCTCCTGTTCGTGGACTGGAGATACCTCTCGACGGAGTGCGCGGAGGACGCGAGAGGACGAGCATCCGCGGGCGCGGAGGGCACGTGCGACGTGCTGCGCGACGCGACGTTCGCGTCCCCGCTGTCGCACCGGTCGACGCTCGCGAACGTCGTCGTCGTGACGTACTTGCTCATCTTCTCGCTGTACTGGACGTGGTCGCTCGCGAGGCTCGCGACGGACTTGCGGCCGCTGCTCGAGATGCGGTCGTTCTGTAACAATAAACTTCAGCTGTCGGACCGGGACGTGCAGGCGCGTCCCGTACACTGGTCCCCATACGACCGCGTCGGCGTGGTGAACGCCGATCCTTAAGGACTTTTCCCGGCGTTTCTCTCTGCCCACGCCACGGTTTCAATCCCCGCCCTCGACGCCTTTCAACTCCGCTTCTGACGCCTTTCAACTCCACCCCGACGTTCGCTCGCGCAGACGGTCGAGTGGCCAGAGGTGGTGGCGCGCGTCGTGCACTTACAAGCGACGACGCGCTTATGCATCACGAAGGACCTGAACGAGCACGACATCGTCGCGCGGATCATGCGGAAGGAGAACTACCTCCTCGGGATGATCAACCGCGACGTCTTGGGGCTGACGTTGACGGGGCTGCCGGGCGCGCGGCGGACGCGGTGGCTCACGACGTGCGTGCGGTGGAACCTCGAGTGGGCGGTGTTTCACGGGATGTTCGACGACGACTTCTCGATCCGGCCGTCGTTCTACGACGTGCGCGCGCTCAGGAAGCGGATGCGGACGCTCGCGGTGATTAACTTGGTGTTATCGCCGTTCATCGCGATTTTCATGGCGACGTACTTCGCGCTTCGAGACGCGGAGAGGTTTTACCGTCACCCCGCCGCGGTGGGCGCGCGGTCGTGGAGCCCGGAATCGCGGTGGAAACTCCGGGAGTTCAACGAGCTGAAGCACTTCCACGAGCACCGCCTGACCGCGGCGCACAAGCACGCGACCAAGTACCTCTCGCAGTTCCCGTCCCCGGTCGTGAGCATGATCGCCAAATTCGTCTCCTACGTCGTCGGCGCGTTCGCCGCGATGTGCATCGCGTGCGCGTTGATCGACGACGATCTCCTGCACGCGGAGGTGTTCGGTCGCGACTTGCTCTGGCACACGGCCGTGCTCGGGACGCTGCTGGCCGCGAGTCGCGGGATGATCGGGGAGGCGAACAAGGTGTTCGAGCCGAACCGTCTGATGGCGGAGGTGGTGTCGCACACGCACTACCTCCCTCGACGGTGGCGCGACGCCGCGCACAAGGCGGAGGTGCAGGCGGAGTTTGAGGAGATGTTTCCGTTTAAAGCCGCGACGTTCGCGAAAGAGATGCTGAGCATATTCGTCGCGCCGTTCGTGCTGTGGTACCCGCTGTGCGAATCCGCGCCCGAGATCGTGAGCTTCGTCAGGAATTTCACGGTGCATCGACAGGGCGTCGGAGACGTGTGCTCGCTGAGCGCGTTCGATTTCCGACGGCACGGAAACGCGAAATACGGCGCGGGGACGACGGCGCGGAAACCCGCGCGAAGCAAACAGGGGAAGATGGAGAAGTCGTTCCTGTCGTTCCACGCGCAGTACCCGACGTGGGAGCCGGATGAGGGCGGACGGGAAGTCATCGCGTCCCTGAACGGGTTCAAGTGCTCCGCGGCGCCCGTCGTCCCCGGCCGCGGCGGGTCGCTCCCGGGGTCGCCGCGCCGCGCCGCCGCCGCCGCCGCGCGAAGCCGCGCGAAGTCTCCGACCGCGTTCGCCGCGCCGGGGTCCGCGAGCATGTTTCTCGACGACGCGATCGGCGCGAGCAACTTCCCGAGGTCGCTGGCGGCGTCGACCGCGACGGCGGCGGGCGAGGACGACGCGGACGCGGAGACGGAGTACCAGGTGACGCTTCAGCGGTTTTACGACTGGAACCGCGCGACGGGCTGGCGCCCGGGGACGCCGCCGTCTCGCGGGGATTCGCCGAACGAGCTCGAACTCGGCGGCGGCGTCGACGACCGCGACGCGCGCCGCGGTCGAAGCCCGACGCGGTCGGTCGACGCGCGGAGGCTCGAGACGGAGATGCGCGCGGCGGTCGTCGTCGCGTCGCGTCGTCCGTCGGACCCGGACCCGTGCCCGGACGACCTCTTCGCGGCGTCGCCGCCGACGCCGTCGCGGATGACGGACAGCGGGACGCTTCTCGGGGAGAATCTCGACGCGGGGGACCCGCTCGCGGCGCTCGGGTCGTTGCCGTCGCCGCGCGGGGACGTCCGAGAGCCCGCGAACCCGTGGGACATGGACGCGACCGCGCGCGAGTGGGGGCGGGGGGGAGGGGTGTGATCGATCGTGATCGACTCGACGCGCTCCGTGCATTCTTTTGTATTCTGTCTGTAGTACCTTGTACGAACGACGACGCTATCATAGTAGTCCTGACGCAGAACGATACGTTGTGTAACGCTTCAACATCTAACGTTACTTAACTCGAGTCCCCGGCCTCGCTCGGGGGCCCGATGCCGTCCACTTCGTCGTACCGCGCCTGTTCCACGGGCGTCAGGCTCTTGCGATGCAACCAAGGCTTCAACTCCTCGAACGCCCCCCCGAACGTCATCTTCCTCCCCATCTTCTTGCTCGCGCGCATCGCCTTCCGAACGCGGTGCCGCCCGCCGTTATCCGCGAGCGCTTTCGCCACCTCGTAATTCTCCGACGCCGCCGCCAACACGCACCCGCACGCCGCCTCCGTCGCCTTCGCGTCCGACGCGTGCGCCGTCATCGCCGCGTACACCGCCTCGTGCATCCTCTCGCGGACGAACGCAGCCTGCGCGTCCGGCCCGCCGAGATGGATCGCGGCCCAGAGCGCTCGCAGCGCGTCCCTCGCGACGCGCGCGTCTTTGCCCTCGGCGAGGAGCGCGCGCGTCGCCGCGCGCGCTGGGGCGAGCCGCGCGTCCAGGACGCGCGTCGCCTCCGCGTCGGCGTCGGCGTCGGCGGTCGAAGCCGCGTCGTCGGACGACGCCGGCGCGGCGGTCGACGCCGCGACGGCGATCGTCGACGAGGAAGAGGCGGGAGGTCTCGACCCGGACGAGCCAAAGAGAAGCGCGTACGCGCACGCGGCGATCGCGATGAAGGTTCCGACGCCGACGCCGCCGACGCCGACGCCGCCGACGCCGCCGAACTCGCCCCCGAACCCGGACCGTTTCATCGCGATGATCTCCACCTTGTACGCGTCCGCGCGCGCTTCCGCGACGATCCGGGCTTCGTCGAGCGCGCGCGCGCGGTCGGCGACGATGCGCTCGGCCGCCTCCCTCGCCGCCTCCGCCTCGACGGACGCGGCGTCGAGGAGCGCCGCGCCGCGCTTCGACGCGCCGCCGGCGCCGCCGACGCCGCCGGCGACGACGGCTTTGAACGCCTCGAGCTCGATCGTCGCCGCGTCCGCGCGCGACTCCGCGTCTCTCAGCGCGGCGGCAGCCTCTCTCGCTCTCTCGGCCGCGCGTTTCGCCGCGGCGACGAGCTTCGCGGCGCCGAGCACCGTCTTCCTCCTCGAGCCGCCGTCCCCATCCTCGCGCTCCGAAAGCTTTCGGAGCTCGGGCGTCGCCGCGCGCAACGCGTCGAGCTCCGTCGAGAGCGCGTCCCTCGCGCGCTCCGCGCGCGTCTTCGCCTCGGTAACCCTGCGAAGCTTCTCGCGCGTCGCTCTCGTCGCCTTCTCCGTCGCCGCCTTCCCCGCGGTCGCCGCCGCCGCCGCCGCCGCGCTCGCCCTGGCGTCCGCGACGGCGGCGAAGCACCGTTTCCCCTCCTCCGGAAGTAACCCCCTCCGCGTCGACGCTCGCAGGTACTCGAGCTCCGCGCGCGCGGCGTCCGCCTCCGCGACCGCCGCGTCCGCGCGCGCGGTCGCGTTCCGCAGCCGCGCCTCCATAGCCTCGGAGGCGGCCGCCGTCGCGGCGGCGGCGACGCGACCAGAGTACCCGGCGTTTCGCGCCTCCGCTCGCGTCCACATCGGCGCGTTCGACGCCGTCGCCGCTTTCCTCGCCGCCATCGTCCGCAACGACGCCATCTCCTTCTCCATCGCCTTGCTCTTCACCGCGTGCGCCTTCTCCGCGCTCTCGAGCTCGCGCCGCGCGGCGGCGAGCCTCTCGAGCGCGTCTTTCGCCCTCGCCTTTTCGGCGGCCGCCGCGGAATCCGCCCGGTCCGCGTCGTTCAAGTACCGATGCTCCAACGGCGCGAGCGTCCTCGCGACGCCCCAGACGTCGTCCATCGCGCGATGCGCGACGTCGCGGCCGCGCGCGGAGACCGCGGCGAAGACTCGCGACGACGCCGCGAGGACCGCGAGGAGGACGCACGCGGCGGCGAGGAACGAGACGACGCGCGCGGCGCCCGCCGCCAACGCGCGCGCCCGCCCGCGCCTCGCCGCCTCTCTCCGTCGCCGCGCCGTCCGCGCGCGGTGCGCTCTCTGAATGCGAACCGCCGCGCGGTGCATCAGCGCGTCGCGCCGTTTTGTCTCCTCCGGAGTCTTCGGCGACCACGTCTTGAAGAGGTTCAAGACATCCACGGCGGTGGCCTCGGGCGGGAGGCATCGCCGCGCAGCTTGCACCTCGTGCTTCGTGAGCGCCTTCTCCGCCTTGGCGTGCGCGGTCGTCGCGGTCGCGAGGTCCACGCGCGCGGTGAGGAGAACCTGGCGCGCGCGCTCGCGTCGCGCCGCGAGCTCCGGGGGCGCGCGCAGGGACCCGCCGTTATCCTTGACCGCGCGATCCGCGCGCTTCGCCGTCTTGTCCGCGTCCTCGAGTTTGATCCGCGCCTCCTCCATCGCGAACGCCGCGGCTCTGCGATCCTCGCGCAGCGTCCGGAGGTTCTTCCGTCCCTCCAAGGCTGCGGGGAGGCCGTCCGCGAGCTCCTCCGTCGTCGTCATCATCTCGTCCAGCGCAGCCTGGATCGCGTTGATGTTCCTCTGGTGCCACCCCGCGAGGGCGTCGAACACGGACGACCCGCCCCCGCCCCCGGGGCCCGACGGACCCGCGGACGACGACGCGCCGCTCGGGGACGCGTCGCCGCCGCGTTCGCGGATCGCCGCGCTCGCCGCCGCGTCGGGGGACTCGCCGGGGGAGCCTCGCGAGGGAGGCGTCCCGGGGGACGGCCCGGAGCCGTGCATCGCGCCCCGTCGACGCGTCCGCGGCGCCCGATCGCTCTGGCGCGACGAGAGCGGGGGCAGGGACGACGCTTCAGCGAGCGCCACGTCTGGTCGCGAAAAGAATGTTTCGGCATACGATATCCATCCGCGCGGCCGCCGCACGCGCGCCATGGCCGCCTCGCTCGCCGCATCGCCCCTCGGCGCGCTCGCGCGTCGCCGCGTCGCCGCCCCCCGCCGCCGCGTCGCCGTCGCCCGCCGCGGCGTCGCGTCCGTCCGCGCGGACGCGACCGCGACGAAGAAGGTCGTCGTCCTCGGCGGTTCCGGGTTCGTCGGCAGCCGCGTCGTCGACCGCCTCGCCTCCGCGGGCGTCGCCGAGGTGACGTCCATCTCCAAGTCCGGCGCGGCCGTCCCCGGCGCGTCGTCCTCCGTCGCGATCGACCTCGCGGCCGCCGCCGCGTCCGAAGCGCTCGCGGCCGCGTTCGAGGGCGCGGACGCGGTCGTCTCGTGCGTCGGTTGCATCGGCGGAAGCGACGAGGACATGCGCGCGGGGAACGGCGACGCGAACGCGACCGCGATCGACGCCGCGAAAACCGCGGGGGTGCCGAAGTTCGTGTACGTCTCCGTCGCGTCCATCGTCCCGGACGTCGTCGGCGCGACGCCGCTGATGCGCGGGTACTTCGAGGGGAAAGCCGCGGCCGAGGCGGCGCTAATGTCGGCGTACCCGGACGCGTCGTCGCGGCTCGTCGTGAAGCCGTCCTTCATCTACGGCGGCGACGCGTTCAGCGTGAACCCGCCGCGGGTGACGAAACAGTACGGCGACCAGCTCGTGAAGCTCCTGGGGAGCGGGCTCGTGAAGTCCATCGCGGAGAAAGCCCCGGGGGCGATCGCGCTGACGCTGGCGGAGCCCGTGAGCGTGGACGACGTCGCCGCCGCCGCGTGCGCGGGGGCGCTGGGGAGAGCGACGACGAGCGAGTGCGACGGCACGGACGCGATCAAGGCGTGCGCGGGGAAGCTGGACGTCGCGTGAGGCGGACGAGGGAGGGAGGAACACGTGTAGTATTCACGAGAACGATCTAACCTCATCGCACGGCGGCGACGAACCCTTCCCGGGAAGTCACTTCTTCGCGGCGGCGGCTTTCTTCTTTTCCTTTCCTCGCGTGAGCGGCGGCGTGAACGTCTTCGGGTCCGTCTTCCTCGCCGCCGGGGTCTTCGCCGCCGGGGTCTTCTTCGCCTCTTTCTTCGCCGCCGGGGTCTTCGCCTTCTTCGCGGGCGTCTTCTCGGGTTTCTCCTCCTCCGCCGCCGCCGCCTCCGCCGCCTCCGCCGCCTCCGCCTCCGCCTCCGCGGCTCGCTTCTTCCCGGCGCCCTTCGCCGCCGGCTTCGTCGTCGCCTTCTTCGCCTTCGCGTCCCCGCCCGAGCTCGCGTCGGGCCCCGGGGGCCCCGCGACGGCCGCGTACCCGGGGAAGTCGTACTCGATCCCCGCGGCCTCGATCTTCCGCCGTCGCGCCCGCTCCTTCTTCACCAGCGCGGCGTTCTTCTTCTCCGTCTCCGCCTCCGTGAGCGCCCTGTCGTGCTTCTCCGCGGCTTTCTTTTGCCACGGCACCGTCTTAAACTTTCGGTTCGCGCCCTTCCACAGCTCCGGGTGGCACTCGTCGGGGGTCATCAGTTTGACTTTCATGATGGACTCGAAGAGCAGGTACCCGTCCATGGACTGCGCGACCACCTCCGCGACTTCCGGGTACTTGAACTCGACGTAGGCGTAATGTTTCGATCTCCCCGTCTTTTTGTTCCGCGACAATCGCAGCCGCGTTACCTCCCCGAACTGCCCAAAGTACGCGCGCATCTGGTCCTCGTAGAAGCCGTGCGGGACGTGCCCGATGTACAGCGTCTTCGCGCGCGTCTCCTTGTCGTTGCCGAACGCGCCGTGGACGTTCTTCGTCTTCGCGGCTATCTTCTTCCCTTCCCTCTTCGCCTCCTCGACCGGGACGACGTCAACGTCGGACTCGGATCTATCGGACTCGGACTCGGACCCGGACTCGGACCCGGACTCGGCGGCGGGCTCGGAGGAGAGCTTGATGACGTCCTCGCCGCCCTTCGGCGCGGCCTTGCGCTTCTTCGCGCCGGCGCTCGCCTTCGCGACCCCGGAAGAGGGGGCGTCGCGCTTCGGCATCGCGAGACCGCGTGCGGCGCGCGGCGAGAGACGGAAAGAAATCAAAAGGCGGCGGTCCCCGGTTGGCGGTTCCGCCGCTGCGCTGGCGAGCGATTCGGGCGAGACGAGACGCGGCGACGGACCGGTTCGAAGCGCGACCGTGGAAGGCTCTCGCGCGCGCGGCTGACGTGCGGGACGTGCGGGGGGAGCGACGACCGCGCGAGGGAGTCGCGGGAGACGTCCGGTGTCGTGCGTGCGTCGTGCGGGGACGCGCGCGAAGTGGTCGCGCATCTCAGCCGCCACTTCGAGTCCTCCAGTTCGCCAGATGCCAGAAGCAGAGTGTGCGCACTCACCGAGAAATGCGGCCCCGACGCTCCCACCCACCGAAAAGAACTTGCTGTGCGTATAAACCGAACTAAGGTACACTCTGCTCGCGTGCTGCTAACTATAAATACATACAGTACGTCGTACACACGCGGACGACGGCGTCGTCGCCCGCGCTCGGCGTGAAGGCCGCTCGCGGCGCTCCGCGTCGCGGCGCCCTCAACTCGACGCCGCGACCTCGGGCTGCGAAAAAGCGCGCGTCAGTCCGCCGCCGCCGCCGTCGACCTGATCCTTCTTCCTCCCGCGGCCGCCCCACGTCTCGCTCGGGGTCGGTTCCCACGTCCGCGGGCTCCCGGATCTCCCCCTCTCCTGTTCCTCCTCCGCGACGCGGCGCCAGCGTCCTTTCGGGACCCATTTACCCGCGGACGGCGTCGCCGCGCCGCCGCCGCCGCCGCCGCTCGATTTCCGCCCCTCGTCGCCGCCGCCGCCGCCCGCGCGCGCGCCGCCGAACGGGTCCACGTTCGTGAGATACCCCTGCCTCGACACCCCGCGATACGCGTCCTTCCCCCCCGCCGGCCACGTGTTGTTCTCTCGCGACCGTCCGGGGGGGACGTCGATCGGCGCGGACTTTGGCGTGCGCGGGGACGCCGCCGCCGCCGCCGCCGCCGCGTCCTCCTCTACTGTCGTTCGCGACTTCCGTTCCTCCCCGCTCAGCGGCGGTCTCCTCCTCCAGCTCGCCGCCTCGTCGCTCCGCGACGGCGCCGACTTCGTCGCGTTCATCTCCCCAGACCCCGGCGCGCGATCGTCCATCTCGCCGCCGCCGCCGCCGCCGCCGTCGCTCGCCGGGGATCCGCCCCACGACCGCGCCGGCGACCCCGCGCCGCTCTTCGTCGCCGACGCGTCGCCGACCGCCGCCGCGCGCACGCCCCCGCGGTTCGTCTGCGCGCTCTGCCAGAACGCGCTGAACTCGAACGGCTGCAAGTACCGACGGCCGTACACGAACCTCCCGGCGGGGAGGTGCGCGAGCTCGCACCGCGTGGGGGCGCCGCCGCCGCCGCCGCCGCCGCAGCGGTCAGTCAAGAACGACGCGTCAGAGGACCACGACGAGGAGTACGCGCTCGCGCCGCTGCGCTCGGAGCACGCGCTCGGGGAGAGACTGCGCGAGCGGTCCGTGGACGGGGACACCGAGCGCGCGGCGTGCGCGAGCGGTGTGGAAGGGGACACCCCGAACCCGAAGCGTTTATTCGAACCGGAGTCGCGTCGAGGTTTCGCAAAACCCGCCGAGGCGTTTGGCGCCGCGTGCGACCACTTCGGCG